ATTTTTCGCTAACTTTGATAATTTTAATTTTACAAAATAGATTTTTAGATTTTCTTTTAATTTTAAATATTTATTTTACCTTTTGTAACATAAAACGTCCATTACTTTCAAAATTTCCATTCAAAAATTCCCTTCCATTTTTATACCAATAAAAATCTCCATTTTCATTATTTTCTTCCCCTTTTTCAATTAAACATTTAAAATTTAAATTATTATTATTTCCTTCAATTAAAGTTCCCAATGGAAAAACAAAAAGTTTTGCTCTTTTTGGGATTTGTTTTGAATTTATTGAAATTGTTGTTGTTTTTTGTTTAATTAGTTGTTGATTGTTAATAATTGTTAAATTATTACATTTTAACAAACAATCTTCTTCAGTTAAAAATCTATTAGAATTTCCACGACAACCACCAAAAGTAAATCTGAATTTTAAATATTTATACTATTAGTACACAGTAGAGATCGAGCTGGACCTGGACCAAGGCCTGGGTTTTTCCTGTACCCTGAGTCCAGGTCCAGGCTTTTTTGACCTTCCTGGGGTTTTCCTGAGCCTGGGTTTTTCCTGGACTACAGGCCCAGGATCCGGCCCAGGTCAATAAATCAACCCCAGAGTCCAGGAACAAATCCATGCTTTTCAAAAATTTCGATCTATAATACAAAGCTAGATTTGATTTATCAATTTTTCCAATATCGATATTAATCAAAAATGCCAACTGATTTTTTTTTAACTAAATTTTATCTCAAAAATTCCCTTAATCAACTAATTTTAATCCGAGATTTAAAGAATTTTAAAAATACCTCCTGCATTGATTCTGTAAATAATCAAAATACCAAAGAGAAACAAAATCTTCACAAGGCCCTCCATCCATAGGTAATTGGCATATATTTAATTGTTGATTATAAATATCAATTTCACGATTACACAGATTTTCACATTCTGATTTACTTTAAAATATTTAATTATTTTATTTATTATTTTACTGGAAGAGGAAAAAATGAATTTTTTGTAGTATATTATTAACAAGGTTGTCAATTAAAGAAAACTTTTCCCCTTTAAGAATTTCTACTCAAATTTTTGGTGATGCGACTTTTGCGGCGCGTACACTTGCGGCTCAGACATTTGCGGCCCAGACACTTGCGGCTCGCCCCTATTTTGACACTTGCGGCCCCGACACTTGCGGCTAAGAAATTTTCGGCGCAGACATTTGCGGCTATCAACTTGAGGCCCAGACACTTGCGGCCCAGACTATTGCGGTTTGACATTTGAGGCTCCCCCCTATTGTGACACTTGCGGCCCGACATTTGCGGTTTTGACATTTGCGGCCCCGACATTTTCGGCCTTGATTAAAAAATTAAGTAAATTAAAATAAAGAATCCTAATTTATCGTTAATTTAATATCGGTCAATAGATTTTGATCCCAATTCTCAAATCCATAATAAGAAATCTCACAAATCCTTCTCTCTCAAATCCTTAACTCAATGTATTAATTACCCTGGGTAGGTATTGTTTCATTATTATTGTACGAAATTATTGAGACGAAATTATTTTTTGATAATGATAAATGTCATTATTAAAAAAATCTAGGTATATTTGAGGAATTTTTAGGGAGATGTAAGGTTGATATTAAAGGGAATATCATGGGACTTAGAGGGATTAATCTTAATTACTCACCCCCCCCCCTCTCCACCAATCCTTTTAATTTTTCTTAATTCACATAAATTCCGCGTTATCTTCTCTAAATCCTTTTATTCTCCTTATTGATCCTTAAAATACACATTATTAAAATCGTAATGATTTTTAATAAATATTTTAAAAATTAGCTTGGGGAAAATAGGGGGAAAATTTAAAAAGTTACTTTAAAAAATTACTTAAGATTACTCTTACATTAAAAAATTTACTTAATTTTTCAATCAAGGCCGAAAATGTCGGGGCCGCAAATGTCAAAACCGCAAATGTCGGGCCGCAAGTGTCACAATAGGGGGGAGCCTCAAATGTCAAACCGCAATAGTCTGGGCCGCAAGTGTCTGGGCCTCAAGTTGATAGCCGCAAATGTCTGCGCCGAAAATTTCTTAGCCGCAAGTGTCGGGGCCGCAAGTGTCAAAATAGGGGCGAGCCGCAAGTGTCTGGGCCGCAAATGTCTGAGCCGCAAGTGTACGCGCCGCAAAAGTCGGCTAATCAAATTTTTCTGATTACATAATTTTAATTTTTTTAGTATTATTTTTAATATACTCCGCTAATAAAATTTCTCATACCAATAGGGAGGGGGGTAAATAGGAGGGTGTAAATAGGGAGGTATAGGTATAAATACCAGGATGAAAATAGGACTTTATAAATATTTCTCTTATATGTAACACCCAAAATTCGAATTCTGGATTAAAATTATTAATTAATTAACAATAAATATCCTTGTTTCATTTATGTATTTCCAACCTTTGAAATCTATTTCCATTCCCTCCACATCCATTCCACATAAAAATTTTACATTTTCTTTCACTCGGAAGATAATACCATTTTTGTATTTTAATTAATCCAAAATTATTTTCTTTATTTTCATTTTCACATTCTTTACTTCCCCCATCATATTCTAATTCACAAATATTTTTATTTTTCCAATCTCCACATGCTCGAAGACAAGATTCGTATGAAAGGAAATTATTAACATTTTGTGCACACCCAGTATAGAAAAAACCGACACAATCATTTTTATCTATATCATAACGAAAACGAAGTATTTCTCCAAAACATTTTCCTCTTTCTTCGGGTAGAAGGCAAAGTTCTTAAAAATTTTAAAAAATTTCAAGAAAATATTCGAAAACATTAAAAATAACGTTTCAAAAGTGAAACTTCGGATAGTAGGGGAATGAATGTCCGATAGGGTTGTATTTATAAAAAAAGTGATTGTCGAAATATACACATTGGATTTCCGTGGCAAAAGAGCCTATTAAAAATTGTATCAGACATCGGTTTATGCCTAGCAGAGGTCTATCGGATTTCATGTTTTTTACCTTCCGATTTCCGAAATTTTAAATTTCCGATTTCCTAGTTCCGACTTTTGAGCCATATCCGATTTCCGACAGTTCCGATTTCCGGCACCTTCGCAATCTCCTATCGACCTCTGATGCCTAGTAAACACTTCTTGGATTAGAATCTACAAGTAACTAATCTACAAACCAGGTAATTGTCCATAAAGCAATCCTCCTTCCTCCTCCTCCTCCCCTATTTCTTCTTCTCCTTTTCCATCTACAAAAACATCCTCCTTTTGATTATTCAAAATATTCTTTTCATTTTTATTAATTAATAAATTATTATTGTTTGTGCCATTTATTTCCACAAATTGTTGTTCTGATAACAAAGAACGTCTTCTTCGACTTTTTAAATCTGTTGAATATTTAAATATAAAAAATATTTTCTTTGAGTTTTACTTTCAATTTTAATTCTAATCTCAGAAATAGGGTTATCGGTTCTGGACCGAACCAAAGAACCGGGGATTTTTCGGTTCGGTTTCGGATATCCGAAGAATTTTATGGAACAGACAACTCTACTTAGAAATATCAATTAAATTTAAATTTTTTAAAGACTGGAAGGAGTGGGGAAAGGCTTCTTACAGAAAATTATATAAACATTAATCAAGTTAAGAAATATTTTATATCAAATTTAGAAAAAATTGCAAGTGAGAGAAAAAAATAAATCGAGTACTGAATATTATTTTAATACTAGATTGGAGTATGAAATGTTTTCCAAAAATTTAACTGAACAAGTTTGTAACAATAAACAGCACTGGATAAAAATTAACAATTAAAGTAAATTAAAAATGAAATTAAAAATGGAACGGCACAGAAAATATCATAAAATTGGAGGCAAGAAAATTAAAAAAAAAATTATTTCTTAAATAAAAATTAATTATTTCGCTAAAAATTTAAACTTTTTTGTTGGCATATGCCCCTTTCCCCACTCCCAAAATCCATCTTTTCATTCATTCTTTAAATTAAAAATTTTTCAAGTACTTGGTTGGCAACGAGCTTGGCATTCTTCGATTGTACGGAAATTGTTTGTATTTCTGTTAAAATAAAAGGAAAATTAAAAAATATTTTTGAATAATCGGAACACACTATAAGACAGAGGTGGGTAAATTCCGATTTCCGGCTCTTCCGATTTCCGACACCTCTGACTGTTCCGACCCGCCTCTGCTATGAGATACGGCATTTAGGTTTAAATGAGGGGTATCATAGATTGGGGATATCTCTCAGTCATTTCCTCCCACATAAAGTAAAGGTGTATCTAGTATTGGTCATATCTTATAGTGAAGTTTGACTTATCAATAAATTACCCACCCAAGACATCCTCCATACTGGAATAAAGAACATTTATTTGAGTGAAAATCAAAATAATAGCGGTCAGCTTTGCCAGCACAAGGACCAGAAACACTTGGTAATAAACAAGCATCTTTTTTTAATAATAATTTATTTTTAAAATAATTATATTTTCTAATACCTCTAAAATCACCACAAGTATTTCTACATTCTTGTTCTGTGTCAAAACGATTAGAATTTCCATCACAGCCTACAAAATATTTGTTTAAAATTTCAGTTATTGCTAATAGATAAATAGCCCTATTGTGGAAAACAATGATTGAGGAACCTAATGATTAGTTGATACAAATTTGAGAACCTAATGATTAGTTGATATATTTTATAAAAAATCCTAAACCCTAGCTGTGAATAGATCTCAGAAATAATCTTTAAAAAACAAAAAGTTTAGCCGTGACACTAAATTACATACTGTAAAACTTTTAATAACTACCCAGGGTAATTATTTTTCGACCTTCCGTTGGCGAGAGTAATTAATCAAGGGAGGGCGATTATATGAGATTTGAACGTGTTTTAGGGCAATTGATAGGGGCAATTATTGGGGTAATTAATAAAAGTAGGGTAACTATTTAGGAGAGGGCAATTAATACAGAGTATACGGTAATTATTCGGGCTAACATTTAACTCAAAAATAACTACTCATTTATGTATAACAACAACAATTTCAATTTAAAAATACCTCCATAATGGAATCTATTACAAGTTCCATCCGATTTATTGTAATACCATTTAGTAACAAATTGTTTACAGGACCCAGTTTCTTTAGAATAATCACAAATTTGTTGTTGATTTTTTTGTTTTTCCCTTCCAGTTAATTGTATTATACTTCCAGCAGCAGCTGGAATTATTGGTTGGCTAGGTTCTGGGGGAACAAATGCTGAAGCAGTTTTAAATGGAGTTTGTGGGCCTGGAGGAGGAGGGAAATCGTGACGGCGAAGGCAAACGGCCTAAAATTTTTGGGAATTTTTGAAAATAAATTTATTTTTTTCTTCAAAAAAAAAGTACCTGACATTCATCAAGACTATTAAATCGGTTTGCATTCCCCCCACATCCAGAATAGGTAAATCGTTCACATTGTCCAGTAGCTAGTTCATAATAGCTAAAATTTAAAATTTAAATTTATTTAAATGAAGCTCTAACAAGCTATCAAAATGTCCTTCACATTTACCAACGTCTGGTCGAAGATTGCACATTTCCTTTGTTTTTACTTGAATAGAAAATATTTTAATTTTAAATTTAAAAAATAAAATTAATATTTTTATTTTTAGGGGTTGTTAAGGCAAAAATAAAAACAAAAGAGAATAAAAACAAAACCACAAAACTAAGAACACTCCAAAAACAAACAAAAATTAAAAAAATATTTTTACAAAAAGCTTGTTTTCCAGGTAAAGGAGCATTTGTTCTGTGTGCTGAAGGTAGTGGTTGTAATTGTTGTTTATGGCCTTAATTTAATTTAAAAAAAACAAACAAAAATTTCCCTTTAATTCCTAACCAATAATTTTAAACAATTTTTTACCTAAAAATCCAGGTTTGGTCGGAGATGAAATTAAATGTGCACAACGTTGAGTACATTCTGATTCCGTATTAAAACGATTCCTATTCCCGCCACATCCACTATAAATAAAACGGAAACAGCCGCCATTGAATGCATCAAAGTAATATTTATCCTAATTATTTATTTAATTTTTTTAAATAAGAGATTAATAATTCTCATAAAGATATGTTACTCTAACCCATTAAATCTTTAAAAGGAAATTCCCTTCCGTCTAAATATAAAGATAGGGGGATTGTGTTTGGGCCAGATTGTGTTTCATTCTGTAACCGAATTAATTCTTAGCTTAAACTGGGATCTTGATTGGTCCGGAAATTTTTTTAAAATATAGTAAAGAGGTAATTTAATTTTATAAAAATTTAAAATTCCAATTCCTTTTAAAAACCAACCACATAACTTCGACAATTTCCACTGTCTAGCATCATTCTACAAGCATCGTCCTCTTCAAAAGGAGAAATTTCTGGTTTCTTTGGAGGTATAATTAAAGGTTGAGGTCGAAGGGTTGGATATAATTCTATTTTATTTTTTTGTTAAATTAGTTAAAAAATATTAGAGGTAGAAAATCAAAAGCAAAATTATTAAAAAAAAAACAAAATTAAAAGCAAAAAAAATAAAAATCGAAAAAAGGACCATATTCCAAAACTTCGAATCTTATTTATAAAAACAGCAAACGGTTTACTTTAACAATATTTTTAAGTATTTTATTCCTTTTTTTTTACTTAAAATACAATGTAAACCTACTTTCTTCTGAGATAGAAGGTACAATAGGGGCAATAACAGGTTGTTGTTGAGGTGGTTGTGGTGGCGGTGGGGGTGGTGGAGGGGGTTGTTGGGGTAATTGTTGTTGGGGAATTAGAGGTGGTTGAAGATTATGTTGTGGAGATATTGGAATAGGTCCTCGATATGGAACAATATTAACTTGGACTTGTGATGCATCCGCTCCCGCACAAAAACTCTTTTAATTATTTAGTCAAATTAACATATAGGAAAACAAAACGCTAAAGTGGGACGTGCTTTAAAGACAAATCGCAATCCTAGTCTGGCAGTCATGTAAAAGCTCCCTATCGGTACGGTACATCCGACTCAGCTCAGTGAGAATTAGAAACATAGATATAAGCCCTGCGATTGTGCTGTACTTAATAGAGATCGAGATTTTTGAAAAGCCTAGGCTTGATTTATTGACCTGGGCCGGATCCTGGGTCTGTAGTCCAGAAAAAATCCGGCCCAGGAAAAACCCAGGAAGGTCAAAAAATGCCTGGGCCTGGACTCTGGGTACCCCCGCTCAATATGAAATAAAAAATATTTCAAAAAAATTTACCTGACATTCTTCCCAAGAAAGAAAATTATTAGAATTCCCTAAACATCCTGTATGCCAAAAAGCAGTACATTGTTTAGAAATATAATCATAAGAATATCTAGGTGTTAATTGTTCACAACGCTTTGAGCCTTCAACTTTTGGTAAATAACAACGACCTTATAAATAAAATTTGTTTTTTAATTATAAATTAAAAACCAAGTCCTGGTGGATCAACACAAATTTGTTCGCATTGCTCTTGAGTTCCAAAACGATTCTTTAAAATAATTTTTAACAATTTTATTTTAACTAAAAAATAATTCTCAAATTATTTTCGGTCGAGAGAAGCGCCCTTATAGCAACTGCTAAGAGCAGTGATATCCCATTTTGAGGTAACGGTTCCTGAAATTTGGCCAACCCAAAAAATATCGGGGCTTTTAGATTTTAGAATTGGGACATCGCTGGCCAAAAGATGGTAGCTTATGCTTGTCCGATAAATACTCTTGCCTAACTCTTTAAAAAACTTCAAAAATAATTTTTATCAAAATATTCACTTCATTTCCCCCACAACCGCCATACCAAAATTGTGCACACCTAGCTTCTGCCATATCATAATACCTTACAAATTAATTTTATTTATTTATGTTGAACAAATTTACCAGGCTAGTTTATAGCTAGATGAGCAAACTTGGCCTTGATCTTGAGGCAATCCACAACTTGCCACTAAAAAAAGGTTATTTAAAAAAAGCATTTTTGTTTACCAATAGTTGAAGGAGATACAGTTCCCCCTAACATATAAGGTGCTGGAGTTGTAGTAGGACAGCCAGCAAAGTCTGGACCAAAAGCTTTTGAACTTCCATCTTGACAACATCCATACCTTATTTTCAGAAATAATTTTAAAAAATTATCTTTTCAAATTCCTTCTCACTTTCCATATCTACAATCATCACAGCCCTCTTCATGTGGCCCAATAGCAGTTGTTTGTCCATCCTTACAACAACCCCAACGAGAATATTGGCAAGGACATCCTTCCTTATTTGGGCCTCTAGAAGCCGTCTGTCCATCAGGGCAACAACCATATTTACTTTGGGCACAGCTTTCTGGGCAGCCTGGACAAAAATTTAGAAAACTCTCTGGAAGATAATTCCCTACCATAAAATCCTGGCCCTTTTGCCGAATTTTTTCCATCTGGACAACAGCCATATTGAGAGAATACACATCCGCAACCATCATTATCTGGGCCTTTTGCATGCGTAATCCCATCAGGACAACATCCATACCTTCATTTTGAAGAGGTAAAATTAAAGCAAAATTTTGTTTTTAATTTACCTAGTCAATAAACAACTTGCCCCACATCCTTTCCCATTTTTGCCTAAAGCAGGAGTTGTACCGTCTGGACAACAACCATATTCGGTGAGTTCACAAGAAAGACTGCTACGCTCACAGCCTTTAATACAAAAATTAGAATAAAAGGCTCCTTCACAACCTCCATAATTAGGTCCAAAAGCAATTGTTCTCCTGTCTTTACAACATCCATAAAGCGATGCAGCACAAGTAGGTTCTCCACATCCTTGAAAGTCAGGCCCCCGGGACAGAGTAACACCATCAGAACAACAGCCATATTTAGTTTCATTACAAGTCCCTAAAGTAAAGACTGGACACCCAGCAAGTTCTGGACCTTCTGCCGGGGTATACCAATCTGGGCAACAGCCAAATTCCTTCATTAAAAACTGATAAAACAACCAAACCAGAAAGACTTTTACCGTTTTAGAACAATTAATAGTTTCATTTTCACTAACATTTGCTTTAAGCAAATCCCCAACAATAACAGATGGGGCAATTGTTGTACAAGGTATTTGCAATCGTTCACCAGTTTGACTCTCAAGTGTGCAAAGTTCTTCTTTAATCCCTCCCTCCTCACTTAAATTTTAAATAATTTAAGTAAATTTTTTGTTTTTTACATTGGTTCCTCTCCACTGCCTTCCTCTTCAACATTTTCACTCCCAGGACATCCCTGATTATCTTTTCCTTGTTTTTCTGTTATCTATTTAATTTTAAACTTTTTTTTTGTTTAAAAAATTATTTATTTAATTACATTATCTGAGCAACAACCAAATTCAGAAATTGAACAATTAGAACAACCAGCATAGAATTGTCCAGTTGCGAATGTTGTATTGTCGAGACAACAACCAAATTCGCTTTCTGAGCAGACTGAAATGGATAAAATTAAACATAATAATAAGAAAAGGATATTTATTAATGATGCTCGGGTATCCCGATCCCGACGTCATTTCCCGACCCGACTCCCGTTTCACGGGTTTTTTCTTCTCCCGAGCATCACTAATATCTATTAAACAATGTCCTGTCCAAAAAATTACGAACTTTAACTCCCTTTAAAATTTACAATCTCTGATAACTCTATCTCTAATATTTAATCCAAAATAATCCATGCTTACCAGGACATGTTTGATTGTTACAAATTTGTTGTTCAATAGGTTTTAGTCTTTCATCACACCATTCTGGGACAGGTTTTTTGTCATAATTTAAACAAACAACTGCCCGAGTTTGGATTCCCCCATTACAAGATGCTGAACATTCAGACCAAGGCCCAGTAAAGTAAACACCCTCACATTTTTCTTCATTAAGGCATTCCTCTTGTGAAATGGGTTTATCACCTCCACATAAAGACTCATCTACGCGCTAAAAATAATAGTAAAAAATAAGGCTTTAATTATCCATTAATTATTATAATCTGTAGTAATAATCTTATCATTATTCCATTTTAAACTGAACCGGAAGAAACCCCAAAGATTTTTCGTCTTGTTTCGGTTAACCGAAGCCATATTCAATCATATTCACAAACATTATTTATTTCCCTTTTGATTTGAATTCCTTCATTCTCTTTAATAAATCACCCCTTTCTCTCATAGTACCGTACCTATAATGAGAGAAAGCCCTGGCATGTTTGCTATATTTTTTAAAATTCTTTATGAATTCTTAAAAACACCACCTTTGTCTGTCCAAGCTCATTTATAGCACAAAATACAGTTCTACTTTTATGTCCATGTCCACATTCAGTACTACATTTCGACCATTGAGAAAAATGCCATTCATAAAGGCATGGGGCTGGACTTGCACAGGGGCGTTTATCTTCTGGTATTTTTGCTTTTTCTGTCTTTTTTGTTGCCCCAATTTTTTGTGTTTCCAAACATTTTTCTAAAGGATATTCTCTTCCATTGCGGTCCTGGCATGTTACATTACGCCGTTCTTCTGTGTCATTACAACGTTGGCACTTTAATAATTAAATAAATTCAAAAATAAAAATATTTATTTACCAATTCCCATTCAGTAGTTTTAAATTGAAGACCTTTACAAGGTCCTAAATTGCAATCCCTTTCTGTTTGAGGCTTTCCATCTTTATCTAAAAAAAGTATTTTTCTCAAAATTTTTTAAAATTCACATACCCGGACAAGCATCGGCAGGTAACATTTTCCCTCCTTCCCCTTCTTTAGCACTTCTACACGTTACAGAACGAAATTGTTTAGCATCCCCACATTGTGAAGAACAAGAAGACCAAGGGCCTGCTTGCCATTCTGGGCCTTTAAATTTACATAGATACTTTTTATTTAAAAATCAAATTAACAAGGAAATCTATTGCATTGTCTTCTAGCTTCTGGCCTTTCAATTCCTCGTTCCGTACAATTTCCATCTGAAACTGTTGTCCGACGCCCATCAGCAAAAACTCTAAAAAATAATTTTTTCTATTTTTTCAACTAAATAAATAACCGATGACAGTAAAGAACTCTAAATTGAAGTCCTTTATCTCCACAGGTACTCGAACATGGTTCCCATTCACCAACAAAATATCTATTTTAATTTATTTTAAATATAATTTATTTAAAATCTTTTTAACTGAGGTTCGCAGTCAACAGTTTTACAAGGCTTTTCAAATTCTGGTTTTGTAGCGTTTTGTTCTTCACATATGGAATCATCTACTCGTGTATGTGTTGCAACATCGGTACAATAAAGTGTTCGAGTTATTAAACCTGATTTTAAATAAAAGGAGTTAAACTATACATACATAATTTTTTGAGCCCTAAGAGGGTTTTTTAATATTTATAAAATACAGTCACTATAGTGTGGGGGACTGCCTTCATGGTATGTTCAATATTAAATATTAGAGATCGGACCGAGACAAAATTCGAACAAAAATCTCGGGTTTTTTCGAGATATCATTCTCGATTCTTGTACGATAATCCCAATCAGATCTCTAATTATAGTGAAACCCAATAACCTAATTCAATTACAAATTTAATTTTTAAATTCATTAAATCAAAAATCTATTCGAATTTATTTACTAAATTAAAACACAATTAAACACCTTTTCCACAAGTAACAGAACAGCTAGACCATTCCCCAGGTTTCCATAAATATTTAATATCCTTTTCTAAAGGTATAGAAAATTCATATTTAACAGCGCTGCTAGTTTTTGGTGTTGTTGTTCGTTGAAGTAATAAAGAGATTGTTAAAGGTTCTGTTAATGGACCGTTGGATGTTAATTTTCTGTTATTAAAAATAATTAAATATTTTAAAAATTATATTAATTATTGTTAATTATAAGGAATTTTAACTGTAAGTTCATAAAAGTAGGATATTCATACAAAAAAAAGAGATAAGATATTTTAATTTACAATTGGGCTCTATAGCTTGAAAAGTTTCTCTAAGTCTGGTAATTATTAAAAACTCTTAAGGTTATAAATAGATCGGTTCCGATTTGATTAGTTTCAGCCAGAGTCCTTTTTAATATATTTTAAAAATATATGATTAAATATCTTAATTAGTTTATCTAATTAAATTTTAAAAAAAACTTACTCAGTTCCACCATCTCCTTCTATAAAAATAAAAAAAAAATTATTAAAATTAATTAAAAATTAAATAATTACTTTCATATTTAAAAGCACTTCCTCCAACAATAATATTTTTTGTAATTACTTGTATTTGATAATTACCATTTAATAACCAATCCCCAGTAGAGTTTTTAATTGCTTTAAACAAAAGAGAAAATAATTTTTAAATATTTAATTACCAAAAACATTGCTGGAAGGTCTCAATTCTTCTATATGAATTGCTGTGGCACCAACAGGTATAGACACAATATCGTGATAACCTAAAGCTAATCCTCTCTCATCAAAAATACCCTCTACTGTTTTGCAAGCAGAACCGTCTCCGTTACAAACACCACATTTGTCTTTTTTGGCGACTTAAATTTTAAAAGAAAAATTGAGAGTTATTAAAGTATAATAGTAATGCAAAATTTAATCCTTATTTTTTGTATAATTACTTTAGGTAAATATTGCTTGAATTTCTCACTAAAGGGGTAAAAGTGAGGGCAATTATTCGAGTTTTGAAATTTGGACGTGTGGTAGTGGATTTGGGGAGGGGGGGGGGGAGATAAATATTCTATCATCTTCCCTTCCACTAAAGAGAGGGAGGGTAATAAATTGTGAGGTCTAATAAATAGTAAAAAGTGGCGTGAGTTTAAATTATTTAGTTCTTTCATGGATGAATTAAAAATAATTAAATTACGGGGGAATTTAATTAAAGTTGAAAATCGAAAATTAGAAATAATTGTTGAGGTAAATTAAAAAAGTTTGAAGTGAATTTAAGTAAAAATTTAAAAAATAGAAATACTCTCCTTATTCCTTGTATTTATTTTAGGTTTTAATCTTTATTTTCTTTTTTTACAAAAATTTTACCAGATCCAAGTTTTCCATCACACCCAACAGGTAAACAATTAGCATCAACACAAACATCGTCGCTATAAGCATCACATTTAGTTCCATCAACAACTTTCTCGGCAAATTTATAATAAAAATTGGCATTTTCTGGACGGCAAGTTAATTCACATTTGTTTTTTCCGGCATAGGGGATCCACTAAAAAATTTAAAAAATTAAAAGAGTAAATTTATTCAATCAACGATTTATGGGAATAACCTAGTAGAATAAGCTTAGCATCAACTAATTTTTATGGGAACTCCAAGAAACTTTCTTAATGAAAAATATTTTTAAACTCCTAAACAATAAGAACATTTATTTAATTTATTACTTTATAATATTTTCCATCCAAAGGGTCATCATTATGTTGAGAACATTGTTCGTATCTAAAATCTTTTGTGCCAGCTGGACAGGGCTCTATATTACAAGAAATATATCTAATTGATGGCCCTTGACATGTATTGTCTGAACACAATCTCCTTTCAATCAAAACACCTCCACCACATGAACGGGCTAAAATTAATGATTTTTTAATAAAAAATATTGTTAAAGTCAACACTCATTATAAGATACTTCTCTGGGGCTTAAAAATTTTTTACCCTATAATTAATTGGGGTATCGCTTAGACAGTTTTAGCCCCAACCCACCGGCTAAATTTTAAAAAGCGTATCTTATTTAGAGGTATATCTATTACTGAAGGTATTCTAAAGTGAGATCCAACTGCCTTTGTAAAACATTAGAATATGTTAAATGAAAATTTCAACAAAAATGAACTTACAACAATCCCTTTCCTTTGTCCATTCACCCCAAGGTCCAGAATCTTCAGCACCTTTATCAATAGAAACACTAGCTTCTCCACCCAAATAAACTTGATATGCCTGTCTTTTAGTAATTATTTTTTTGTCATTTTTTGGTAAACGTTCGGGTGGAGATAAAGGATGCAAAGGAAGTTCTTCTTCTTGAAGTGTTGAAGAAGAAGAAGGTGATGGAAATTCAATAGACCATGAAGAAGTTAAAGAGGTAAATAAGAAAACAAAAAGGAAAGAAAATAATAAATGGAGTAAAATATTAAATTTTATTTTGGAATATTTTCTTTTCATTATTGCCATTTTTGTGGCAAAAAAACCTTTAAAAAATTATAAATTTGGTAAAATATCCTTGTATAAAATATTTTAAAAAGTTTTCGAGCTGAACAGAGATCTACTTGGGTAACTAGCATACCGTAAATGTTCGAATAATTACCCTCTCTCAAATAATTGCCCCCTTTAATAATTACCTCCTCTTTTTCCTACACGTTTTTAAAAATATTAAAAAATCATTGTCATTTTTAATTATTAAAGCATTTTAAGACATAATATCAAAAAATAAATTGAGTTCCTTCTCGACCTATTGAGATATACCCCAAATTTATTACCACCTCCAGCGAAAGGTCGGAACACAGAGTAAAATTAATCGAGCATTCCGAGGAGACCCATCCGAGGAGGTCCATTGGAAAATATAAGCATCGGGCTTATATTGGAGTACTTACTGTATATATTTATTAAAAACCACAAAAAATAAATGTTTTTTAGTTACATATGTTATCTTTTGATTGCCCTATTCTATGTTTTTTTGATACAAAAATAAATACATAATTATTTATCTTTATCATTTTATTTAAACCTTTATTTGTTTAACAACATTTTTTGCAATTAATGATAATAAAAATTAAAAATCTACATAGCAGTCTTTCGCGAACAGAAATAGGGGGATTTACAAAATAATTTAAATTATTAGTTCAACAACATCTTTGGAAAAATTCTTGCAGAATTTTGAAAATATTTTGAGAATAAAGTGTCTAATAAGTTTTGCCTACAAAAATTTTGAGCAAATAAATGAGATATTTATACACAAAAATATTTTATTTAAATTTAACGGAAACCAAAGAATTATTTTTCCAAAAAATATTTATTTTACTCGAAAATTGCCATAATTTTAAGAGGAAAAAGGAAATATAAAAAATTAAAGAAAAGTAAAAAATGACCAAAGATTTAAAAAATAAATATCCTTCAAAATCGATGCTAATTTATGTGGAATAAGGCACTAAATTTATGGGATTTTTAAAAGATGAAGAAAATATTTTGAAGAAAATATACTAAAGTTCAAATCACAAACATATTTTTGAAAGAAAGGAAAATAAAAATAAAAGATTTATTATTATTTTGTTTGTTGTCCTTATTTTGTGAACATTTGCTTTGTCCAGAAATTAATTACTTTTTGTGTGTTTGTGTGTGTGTGTGTTCCTAGAGAATCTCTAAATATCCCTCACAACCCCACAACGAATATTTATTTAATAGCCCTGACATCCATTTGGCATTATTAAAAATACCGTATTTGCTAAAATAATTACCCAGTGTAGTTATTGTTTCAACCTCTCGCTGGAGGGAGTAATTAAAAGGGAGGGGGTAATTATTTGAGCTTTTTTAATAAGGCTAATTATAACTATTTCTAGGAGGGGTAATTATTTTTTCGATCTCTGGCTGTAAGGGGTAATTATTTGAGAGAGGGACATTATTTCAGCATTTACGGTAAGAGTTGGTAAACGATTAAAAAATTTAAAATCAAAAAAGCAAGAGCGGAGGGAGAGAAATTTGCGTTTTAAATGAAAATTTCCTTAACTACATATGTATGAGCATAATAAAGGAAAACCATAATCACTGTCCATTAAGCCATTTCCTGAAATTCTATTCTTATTCCAATTTTTAATTTTCTAGTGTAATAATCCCTATTTTATAAAATATATTGTTTGAACTCTTAATTTTTGATTGGACATAAGAACTGGACAAAAAACCATTTTTGAATCAAATTTAAGAATAAATATACTTCTTTTGTTTATATGCTTAAAATAGAGAAGAGTTCTAAAATTACACATAATTTTCTGAATTATTATTAATTTGTTTATTTATATTATTATTTTGGAAAAATAAAATTTTGTAATATTATATAGTATATTTAGTAGTCTTGAATCAAAACACAAACGAAAAATTGGAAAATTTTTTTTTATTATTATAAAGTCCTTCGCAGATTATATTAAAATTCGTACTTGCAACTTGATAAAAAACATGGGGATGAGCATCGATCTTTTCGGAGTTTCTAATAGGAATAAAATATTCAGTTAAGTTAGGATTAGGGTTGGGAGTCCGGTCCGTTCCGGTCCGAAAGTTCGAGTCGGCATCAAATTTTGGCCCGAAAAAGACTCGGTCGGGCCGGCCCGAAAAATATGAGGCCCGCAAAAAATGACTCGAACGTCGACCCGCTCAAAACCCACAACCCTAGTTAGGATTGAAGGTTTAGGTTCGAATTCTAATCAGATTTTCTTTTTACTTTTTCCTTCCAAAAATAAAGAAAAACTCTTAACAAAAACCGAAAGGAAATTTTTGAAAATAGTCAAATTTAAAATTGCTTAATTAAAAAAGAAAAGAAAAAATTTTACAAAAAAATTGACAGCAATTTAATTCTTTGATTGAGGTCGTTGACCTGAAACCCAATGGCCATTGGGGCTAAACTTTCAAAAATAAATGAAAGAATAAATAAATCAAAATGTGCTGCCATTCAAAGTTTGCAACAGACTTTTGGAAGGGAAGGGAGGGAGATAAAATAAATATATTTATTTATTTATAAGAATGACTCATTTTATTAGAAATAATGGCCACAAGACTTTCATTATATTTAAAATGAAGAGGATATTGAATTGCAGTAATAAATAAATTTTTTGGTTTTTAGGAAATAATTGAAAAAGAAATAATATAAATAGTATTTTAATTATTATTTAAAATTTAATTAAAAATTGGGGAAAAATGTGGTAGCTTGTAAATTACTTTAATTTTCTCCTAAATGGAGATTAAACAATTAAGTAAATGTCCAACTCGACGTCCAATTTCCGCAAATGACTTTCTTCAAGAATGCATTTTTGCTGCATTCTTCTCCTCTCTCTACTAGGGTTGTCGGTTCTGGACCGAAACGAAGAACCGATGATTTTTCGGTTAAGTTCTTCGGTTCGGTTCATCAGAAAATGAATTATTTTCCAAGAGTTTTTCCCAAAATTCCGAAAAGTTGAAATCCACCCTTCAGAAAACTCTTGGAGCCCCCAACTTTCCAGAACCCAAATTTCCGGCCCCCGTTAAAACAGACAAAATCTAAAGATTGGATTAAGTCTAATAATTCTCAATAAAGCAAAAAGTTCTATTCTTCTCTAAAACTATAATTTTCAAAATTAATAAAAATAAAAACTCTAATAAAATATCATCTAATTTATTTAAAAAAAACAAAAAATACTATAACAATTTTTAATTCACTTTCTATTTTTGCCGTCTATAAAATCATTTACAAATCCATTCAAAACTCGATTGCATACCTTCCTCGTTCTTTCTTTCGTTTGTGGACTAAAAAATATGTAAGAATTTTTTTAGAAAATCAAAAAAAAAAATTTTTTTTTAATATTTTCCCTTACTTTTCCATAATATCCTTGTAACTTCTATTAATTTCTAAAAAGCGATCACGAATATTCTTGTATTCCTTCATTTCTTCCATTACTTTATCTAAAAAAACAAAATTATTATTTTTCAAATTAATCAACCTTCACTAAATTTATTATTAGAAACATCTCGAAGGAATCTAATTCTTGACTGTAAAACACTCGCAATTGTTTTTGCTTTCATTTTCCTTCCATTCATCCAATGATAAAGTGTAAATAAAAATAAAGAATTGACACTAAATCTATGCGATAATCCAGTAATTTTACTAAAAAATTAAAAAAACAATTTTAAAAATCACCAAAAATTCTCGGTACTATCAGATTATCTCCCCGCAAAGTCCGCAAAATTTGTACTACATCCTCCCTTCCCTTTTTTTCTCATATTATATTCATGCTGTGAAAAAATTAATTGGACGGAAAATGGAATAGAACCATGACGGAATGAGCCAAGCACAACCGACTGTGCCACCATCAACCCTTTACGGGATATGCGGGGAGATAATGCGATAGTACCAAATTTTCTTACCAATAATCCCAAACTTTTTCCGCAACATCAAAATTTCTATTTTTACAAGCATAATTAAAAAGATTTCCTATTTCACTGTGCAATTTTTCTCTCATAAAATTAGGCAATAATTTATTTAAATCCAATTCAATTAATTTGACTAAAACAGCTACCCATTCATTTCGTCCTCTATTCTATAAATTTAAAAAAATTAATTTAAAAAATTATTTCTTACTTTTTTATCATCAATTACTTCAATCATCCAAGGAAAAAAAATATGATATCTGTCAGCGTATAAATTGCGTTCTGATGGTTCTCTAAGAAATGCTTGATAAAGTTGCAGAGCAAGTTTGTCCCTCAACTTCCATCTTAAAAAATTGTATTTAAAATTAAAAAATAATTTTAAGAAATTTAAATTTCTAGCCCCGAAATGGAGATTTTTTGTTTTAGGAGTTAAATCTCCCTCCGTTCATCGGTTTCGTTCTGCTCTTGCAAAGATCCATTCTCTTGATATAATATAACTATAAATGGTGGTTTTCAAGGGGGCTGGGGGGAAATGGGAAAAAGGGGAGAAAATTAGGAGAAAAATCAGCAAAAAAGTGAAATTTTTTCGCTTATGACAGTGCAAATTCAAAAAAAATTTTGCCCGCGGCGCTGAAAAAAATAAAATATGGTTCAAAAAAATTTGGGTCCGGAACGCCAAGGTATTGGCTTGTTAAACGCCAAAAATTTGGCGACCCCTGGCTACGCCATTGTCAAGAGTTAGGATAACCAAAATGCCTTTTACTAGCAAAAAATTTTGGCAAAAAAAATTTTGGATTGACTCAATTTAAATTTTCTTTTATAAAATGTATAACCTAACCTAAAAACATAATCTATCGAATCAGCCAATGGGCAAGGCCAGCAATTCCGCAAAAATGAGGCCATTTCTTCTATTTGTAACGCACAAAAATCTTTATTTAATTCTCCATTTTTCACACTTATTCCAACTCGATAAATAAAATATTTAAATTTCAATTGACTGAAGAATTGTAATAAATAAAGATATTCTGAAAATTAAATTATAAAAATTAATTTTAGAAAAATTTGCCTTGCTGTTTATTTTGTTGCAATAAAGAATTAATTTGACTGAACAATAAATGAACTTCTTTTATTGGATTTGCCGACTAAAAAATAAAATAATAGTTAATAAAAGAATGGGTACACCCCGATGTACCGCAAGCCCAATGTATACCTCGGCGGTACACGGGGCACGTGGTACACTGGCCTGCTCCCTAAAAGAATTGTGGTACTAGTAGGGCGTCCGTATCCCCCAAGAAAATGTTGGAAAAGGAAATTTGCATAGCTTTCTTCATTTTTCCTTTAATGTAAAGAGAAGTATAACAGGATAATAAGGATATACAACTAACAATAAGGATCGAGTTTTTAGGTTATAACCTTTTTTCCTAAAATAATTTTTATTTATTTTGGCATTTTATACAAACTAATTAGTTATCAATTTTATGCTTTTAACAACCTAAAAATCTTATCTCTAGTCATAACATTGTAAAATATTAAACCTGAAATGCATTTGCAATTGCCGGAAGCAAAATTTCTGGACGATTTGCATATTGCTTAGCTTCAGATGATTTCAAAAACCTAAAATTATAGAAAATTTAAAAAATGACAAAAAAAACCCACGCATTGTAGAGAGGAGGAATTAATGAATGTTGTCTCGTTATTTGCAATCTTCCAATTAAATTTAATAAAGGTGTTTCTTCTACTTTAGAACTTCGCATTTGATCAGCCCAATCCAGTATAGTGCTTAAACTACAACCTCTAGTATATTCGTCAAAGAGAATATTATTGAGTGTGGCATGAACTGATCTAAGAAATTAAAGCTAATTGGGACAAATCACAAATTATTAAAAAAAAATTTCAGTACTACTTCGTCGTCCCTACGTGTTTTTACGGACATTTTCTTCCTTCCGCAAATATACATAATGGTCAGTTCCACCAACAATTTCATTTATTATTGTTCATCATTTGAGTATGTCATAGGGGAATGGAGTGAAATTGAAGAATAAAGAAAATGTCCGCAAAAAGTCCGCAAAAACACGTAGGTATAACGGAGTAGTAATTTAAGTAGTAAATTTTCTATCAAAATTCAGACAAACCCAAATTCCTTCTGAGGATCCAAAAGCTTTCCTCTACGTCGTACATTCAGACTGTCATCTATCCGAGTCATCTAAATAGCGAGTAAATATTTAAAACTAATTTCATAATTACATTGTTAGAGTGCGACTGATTTTGAAAATTTAGATGTCTAGAAGCTTCCCGAGTTGGACCAGAAACGTATCGACCATCTCTCAACGTTGTATATTGTTCTTTGCCATTTGTAGACGACCACCAATTTTGTGTTTTTTGTTCACGTTGAAAAACTAAAAATAATCTATTAACAAATAACCAGTTAAAAAACCTTTATTATTATGCCTGTACATTCCATCATTGTAAACATTTTCAACCTCCGTTGCATCTTGTTCAGGTCTATACCACTTCCACAAACGATAAGAGTTTGTCCAAGGAAGGCTCTTTTCATCTCTCTTTTCAACAAAGTTAAACTCTTGACGCTCACGATAATCTCCTCGAACTTTTAATGAGGCAGTAGAGAATGAACGTTTTAAAACGAAATGTGGTGATGACAAAAAATAATAAGTTACCATCCTTTCACACATTTAATAAAATTAGAATATTCTAAAAAATGTTATAAAAATTAGTAAATTAAAGCGAGAAGCAATTGTACAGATTTATTTTCGATTTATGAAAGAATTTAATTGACGAAATTAGTTTTTTTGGCCTTACTGGCAAAATTAGTATTGGCAAGTTGTAATTTTTAGCCTTATTGGCAAAATGATTATTTGGCAATCTGTTACAGCAGTAAAGATGGAGAGAGTGTATAAAGCAGAGATGGAAAGAAATAACTAGTGTGTGGATTAAAATAAGACAGGTAGTCTAAGAAATGTAAAAAGATAATGTCGTTTTTAATAAAATACTGATTATTCTATAAACTGACACTTTTCTTTCATTAATGCATAATATGTTTTAGAGATGAGAAGGGTCTTAAACTTACCTGGCTGGGGCGCTCATGCGATCAAGAAGGCATGGCGTCTGTGGTGAGACTTCCCCATTGCACTTGAGGGCGAGGTTGACCCGCAGGGCGGCTCCGAACTGGGGTAGGCCCACAGCTAAATTTTTGAGTGTGGGGGACAGCGTTCGCGCTTCCCCCTTAAATTCGTTTGACTTTGAGCTAGCAATAATGGAAGGTTTTTAATGTTTTTCCTTTCTAGACAAGTCGCTAACCAACCGAAACATCATTTAGCTAACTTTAGAGGTGTCTAAGTTGGCTAAACATCTATTTTCAAAACTTATCGACATTTTTATTTGTTTCTTTCAGTTATATTTATTTCTCCGGAAAATTAAAATATGGTTGATCCTAGCAATAAAGAAACATTTGTTGATGCTGAGAAGGATGCTGATGATGACGTTGCCAGTCCTGATTCTAAAGAATTAGAGAATATTTCTAAAATGGTTTGAATTGTTTGATATTTAAATTTTATCTTTATAGATTGAAAACGTTTTGAAAGAGACACAGGAACGATTTCAGGTTTTTTAAAGAATTTTTAAGATTAATATTTTTTCATTTTTCAGAATGTTGTGACTTATAGGGGGTTTTTGTTGGCTGGACCGATTTCGACAAATGAGGTGTCATTCGAAAGAGCTCGCCGAGCTGAGTCGATCGCGGGGTGAGAGAAGTCGATCCGACAATCAGGGATCGAGATACAGACCCCTGAAGTTTGAAAATGAGAAGGGAGTAAGCTCATTTTGGAGTAAAAAATTCAAAAATTCAAATAATAGCTCATTCGACTCAGCTCGTCAAGCTGAGTCGAATGACACCAAAATCAGCTCGATATCTTGATTCTGAGCCAAGATAAACAGGTTCAAAATGGTCAACGTAAACCTATGGAGCGTCGGCGAGGCGCTTGTGCGAAACTCCGCGCTTCGCGCGGAGTTTCGCGGCACGCGCCTCGCGGGGAGTCAACGGTCGCCGGGTCTGGGTCAGTAACATAAACCTATTCCCATCTCCCTTGCTCTGGACGTACTTGAGGCCTTCGTAGCAGCAAAAACCTCAACAATGACCAAAGGTAAGGAGCTAAAACAAACGATCATAACTTTGTCAAATCAAGTCGGATTTCGGTGATTTTGGTGTCATTCGACTCAGTTCGACGAGCTGAGTCGAATGAGCTATTATTTGCATTTTTGAATTTTCCATCCCAAAATGAGCTTACTCCCCCCTTCTCTTTTTCAAACTTCAGGGATCCCTGATTGTCGGATCGACTTCTCTCACCCCGCAATCGACTCAGCTCGGCGAGCTCTTTCGAATGACACCTCATTTGTCGAAATCGGTCCAGCCAACAAAAACCCCCTATAAGTCACAATACCCATTTTTCACTTTAGACAGCGTCAAATCAAATTATTCAACGAATTGATGTAATGTCTAGTCGAGTCGATCAACTTGAAAAGACTGTTCTTGAATTGATGGAAGAGGCAGGGATAAGCAGAGAAAAGGCAGATAATTAATTTTCGATGTAATTCGACACATTTTCGACATAATTTCTTTGAAAACAATTTAAATTATTCAAATAAACATTCAATTTACATTAAGTTAATTAAACTTGTAAATTACTGATTTAAGCTGTTGTCAGGCAGAAATGCTTTTCATAAACGCAAACCAGGTTGTGTAATGGGTATGGATACAGAAAAATTCAAAATGCCTGCGAATATCCGTCTGTATCCGCCGTAAATATACGGATACCAAAATCCATTACCGAGTCTGGCACAAACAACTATTTTTAAAAATACTTTTGACGGACACAAAATGCCGACTTTAAAAAGTACACCTTAAATGCATTTAAATTTTACAAGTCTAATATATATTTAATATTACAACGACAACGAACATCAAAACACTCCTATATAAAATATAATCAAATTCTATTTATTTTTCAACTTTTTCCTCATGTTTCTCTTCCGCTGTGTGAATGACGTCAAAACCAGCAGTAATCGAAGACTCCCGAAAAGCTGGAAATACCTCCCACGGAGTATTCAAGTCAAATTTTCGGAATTCCTGTGCCATTTCTGTCGGTTCATATATAACTTGTTGAAGTTCCTGATCCCAACGAAGCTAAAAAAATTAAAAGAAAATTATTAAAACGCTCAAAAAACCTCAACATAACCAGTTAGCGGAAAATCTTTTCTCTGTGGATGTCTAAAAAATTTATAAAAATTAATCAAAAAAAAATAAAAATCCAACCCTTCAAAACCATAATCCGTTAAAAGTCGCCGCAAGTCTGGGTGATTATTGAACCAAACACCATAGAGGTCATAAACTTCGCGTTCATACCATTCAGCACCAGAGAAGAGCGGTGTTAAAGATTCAATTGGAGCAATCTTTTATAAAAATTAAAGAGAAATGTAGTATTAAATTTAAAAATTACCTCATCCGTATAAGTCCTTATACGTATACGAGCATTATAGCGAGTAGAAAGAAGTGCATAAACGACCTCAAAACGATTTTTACGTGTTGGAACATCAACACCACAACAAAAAATGAAACTGGTAAACTGGGCAGGATGGTGGCCTTTAAGAAAAGCAAAAACTGGTAGAACCCCTGCTGGGTGAATAAGTACTTCCAATTCATCTCCACCGGCAAACTAACAAAAAAAATTTGGAAAAATATTTGAAATCTAATAAAGAGAAACCTGCACTTGTTGTATATATTTGGGTAAACATTTGGTCATATATAGAGCAAATTCTTTCAACTTTTCACGCTTTACCAGATCAATTTGCCATTTAGTATTTGCTGAATAAATTAATTTTATATCAAGTTAAAATTTAAAGTCCTTTTTCATCAAATTAGAAATTCACAAACCCCTTTCCACACAAAACTTTAAATTAAAAAAAACTTTCAAATTAACCTTGCTTAGCTTGATTTGCATTCTGAGTTGTTGCTCCTTGAGTACCAGTTGTCTCAAGCCTAAAAAACGTTTGTGCACTCGGTAAGATCCTCGAACAAACTTTTAATCCAGATTTAAACATCTCTAAAAGATTTATAGAATAACAAATAAATTAGATAAAAATATAAAAAAAGTAGAATTATTTTAAAAAATAAAAATAATTTACAATTATTTAAAATTTTGAGCAATACATTTATTGAAAAAATCAAAAACACATAATGTTCATTAAATTGCCGCTGGTTGAAGACCTGGGTAGAAATTCTGGGTTGAATTTTTTAATAAAAGGGTTGGTACTTTTTGGATATACCGCCTCCCCCCTAGTTCGAGTATCATTTATCCTTTGCTTCATTTTAGGTCGAAAACTGATAGGGGGCGGCATATCCAAAAACTACCGAGGGTCTAACTAGCTTCACAATTGAAAAAATAATTTTTCAGATTTAAAGAAAAAATAAAGGCAAGAATTTTAATTTTAGAGATTTATATTTAGCAATTTTCTATTTCTTTAAAATAGTCTCCATTACTTTCTTTTCTGCTTCATCCAATTGAAAACTCAACATCTCTAAACTAGCTTTATTGTGATTTTCACATTCTTCTCTTTGCTTTTCTTCAAGAATTTCAACCAAATTTCCATTCTTTAAACCATCAAAACCTTTAGAATTATTTCCCATTAATTTCCGTTGTTTCTGTAAATCCATCCAATCACGAACTTGGACACGAATTTTTTGAATAAATTTGAGAGCATCTGATGATAACAAAGAAATTTGAGCACGATGAGTAGCTTGGGCATTAATCAATAATAAAATAGAAGTGTAGAAATTGACGGCAATGAATGGATCTGAAAATCAAAAAAATGGAAATTTTTAAATATATTTTTTTAATTTTTAAGAGCAAAATTAAAAAAATATTTAGAAAAATTTTAAAAAACCTTCATAAACAACAGACTCGAATTTTTTGTAAAAACATTCAAGCTGGGATTGGAATAAACATTTGTCATCATCAGTACCCTGTGAAAAACATTTCTGTCGATAAGTATCAATAAGTAGAGCCAATACTTGTGGTTCATAGACTTCTTCGGAAAGAGGAATTTCATTTTTTGCCAAAACCAACTGAAACAATTTATCATTATCGGATTATTTAAAGATTTTAATTGAATTTAATCCATAAAAATCTAATTCCTTTCAGTTTTATTAAAACAACCTCAAAAAGATGGAATAAAAGCAACATTTGTGCAATAGGTTCAAAGAGATTAAGTAAACGTGCAAAAGCTCGTTGAGAGAGACGACGTACATCCTCACTTATGGGTCGTTCAGAACATCTAATTAAATTCTTAAAGGCCTCCTGAAAATTAATTGAAAATATAAATATTTTAGGTAATGATATTCTTTGGTTGTTTTACGGATTTCCGTTAAATCGTCTTTTTAAGTGTTTTAATTTTTATATTAAAATTTTTTTTCAATTCAAATTTTAGTCAAAAACATTTAAATCGCACTGATTTTAAAGAAAAAATTCAAATACTGCATACCTCAAATTCCACCATCCGATCCCTACAGCAATATCCATCAGAAACTCGACTAATAATCTCATTAACAGAAATAAGAATACATTGAAGTCTCCCTTCTCTTGCCTGAGAATCCAACTCCAAACCAATTTCATTAATTAAAGGCAACGCAAAACAATCAAACCAAAATTCATGAGAAAGTACATATGGAATAGGAACAGGCAAAAAACTTTCCGAAGTTGAGGGGACATCGTCCAAAGGAATTAAAGGTAATTGTAACCATTCAGCAACAGCAGCAAATAATTGGTGTTTAGAAGAAAAATTCTGCAAAAATTGAGTCATAATCTGAAAATTAAAAAAAATTTAAAATCAATTTCACTGTTCTCCTTAAAAATTTATATTCGAAAAACTAACGCTAAAAATAAAATTAAATATAAAGCAATATTTCAAGACAAAATAAAAAAATTATACCACCATTTTACCATTTTATATAAAATAACAGACGAAAAGAAACCACAAAAATAACCAAAGTATTATTTATAATAAAAAACATGAGGAAAATTATCGTAAATGGAAGATCCAAACAAAAATTCTAAAAATATTCTCTCACTTCCCCGCAATCGCCTCAGCAGCCCGTCTCGCTGCAGCTCGTTTTCCAACCATCGCAGTAAATCCAGATTTAATGCTAGAGACAGAACAACGACTTCCACAAGTTTTGCATTGAATAAAGAAAAGACGGGAAATATCTTTTGTTAGAAGAGTGTCAGAGGAACGGCATGTATGGCATGTCACATAGTCCCCTGAATTTTAAAAAATAAATTTGGAAAAATAAAAATAATAAATTCATACTTATATAAACTCTAAGAACATTTTCAAAGTGTTTTTGTTGAAAGCGTCCTTTAACGATTAGACATTGATTTCCGTCAATAGAACCACTAAAATAATAAAAAGAATATTTCAAAATTAAAAAAATTCAAACGTCGTTCCAAGCTCAGCCATCAAAAATTGCAAAACGTGCTTTGGTTCACGTTTGAGCAAACGACAAATTTCTGAAAAATTGGTGAACGCTGTTTTCTTAGTTCCTGCACGTTGAACTTGTGGAGGTTTCATTATAAATGTCTAAAAAATGTTACAAAGACTTTGAAGTGATTTTTCGGACATTTAAGAAAGATGAGTCTTTAAATTAAAAAATAATTTATTCACCTTCTTTTTCCCAGAAATGACTTCTGGATTCTTCTCCCGCATAATATTAAAAACCATATCAATTAACTGGTCATAAGTATAATCTGTCCATTTCTCAGGATCTTTAGCATCTACCAAATTTATTCGTCCTACCCCTTCTGCAACACTAACAGAAAGTTTCTTTTAAAAATAAAAAAAATAAATAAAATTCTAAATTCAAAAAACCTCGTTTTCTCCTCTCTCCTCGTCCGCCAACAATTCCAATTCTTCCTTTTTCTTTTTAGATTTCTTTTTAGGGCCAAGAGTCAATTCTTCTTCAACCGGCCGCTCTTCTTTCTCCACATCTGTCGGAGTCACAGGACGCTCAACATTTTGCTGAGAAGAGATTTCATCATCGTCCAAGACAATTTTCTTTTTAGATTTTTTCTTCTTTTTAAGATCAAGAGCCTTGAAAATGCGATTAATTTTTAGTAGACAATCTATGAAAACTTACAAGATCATCATCGTCAGCCATCGTATAATCACAAAGGAATAGCTAAAAAATATAATATAAGAGTTCTAAAAAAACAAAAAATTTCAAAATTAGAATCGAAAAGAAAATGATTAGAGTAATGAGAATTTCAGAATTACCCAGTCTTTAAAAACCTAGACGGGCGGGGGATCATTGTGTACCGGCCGTTTGTGTACCTGGCCATATTTTGGGCCATAACTTTTTCAATTCTTAATTGATTTAAATAAATAATATATCAATTGAAAGCCCTGGATGTGAGGATTATTTTCGCCAACAGGATTAATTTGATCAGATCATCATACAAAAAGTTACAGACAGATAAAGATCAAAATAACGATTGAGCGCATTTATCGAGATATAACTTTTTATAACATGATCTGATCAAATCAATCCTGTTGGCGAAAATAATCCTCACTTCCAGGGCTTTCAATTGATATAATAATAATTTAAGTCGGTTAAGAATCAAAAAAGTTATGGCCTAAAATATGGCCAGGTACACAAACGGCCGGTACACAAGTGGGACGTTCCGAACCTAGACTCAAAATTTAAAAAATTTTTAATTTTTTTGGCATTCTGTTTTAGCAAAATTTTAAATGTTTAATTGCCTTATGCGTCATCTTGAAAGATTTGTTGATTTTCTCACTTTTCCATTGTAATTTCATTTTTAAGTTTAAGATTTATTTTTATTTTGTTATTTATTTTTTATGTCGTCTTTAACAAGAGAAAAAGCTGAAGAAATTTGTCAACATATAAGAAGTATTTAATTTATTTCTATTTAAAAAATAATTTATTTTAGCAAATCCGGATTCTATTTTTGGACAAAAATATTGGCAATGTAGACATGCTTGTGTTGTCCAATCTCAACAAAAGTCTGACAAATGGGAGACACGTTTTTTGGTTAATTTTTATTTTTTTTTTAATTTTTGTATTTTCTAGGCAATTGCAAAATTTCGTGTTTTTCTTCTCTATGGAAAAAGTATTTCTACTATAAAGCTGGAAAAGTCTTTTAATGTGTTGGCTTTACGAAATTTGGAATTACTACAACAGGAACAGATTGTTTGTATTTTTTTAAATTAAAATTTGTTTAGAAAATTTTTTTCGAAATTTTTATTAACTAATAATGGATTTTTTAAAGTATTTGGCCCTATGTGAAAGGAGGCCCTGCATCATATTTTTTTGTATTTTTTTGAAATGGTTATTTTTTCTTAATTTATTCTTCCTTAACCAAAGATTTTTTTTTAATTTTTTCGGACCGTGTTATGTCTGCACCGAATTTTGATAGGACCGTGTCTACTAAAACTCGGTCCAAACATAACACGTTCCAAAAAAATTAAAAGAAAAATAATGTCTTTGGGTAAGGAAAAATAGCCATTTCAAGGAAATACGTAAAAATATGTTGCCGGCACTCCTTTCACTTCTTTCAAATATTTCTTTGAAAATACTTAAAATTTCAATAATTTTCAATAAATTTTTTAAGCTCCAAATAGGCTGGGAAGACCGTCCAGGTGGCACAAAATCCTTTTCTTCTACTCCAATTGTTGTTCTTCATTTATTTCTTCGCAAACCGGATGGAAGTAAAACAAAAGATTTGGCATTAGAATTACTTTCAACATTAAAACATTATTTTCCTGAAATTCAAAAAAGTTTAACAAAATTATTTATTTCTTTATCTCCGCCTTTAATCGCTGATTTTGCTTTATTACCTTTATCTACACCGGAATTGCCTTGTCATAATTTTCGACGTTCTTATGTTGCTTATTGTGACTGGATGGAACAGCCTTTTAGAGATGAAATTATTTGGGTAGGAAAATTGAAATATTTTTTATATGTGACTAGGGTTGTTGTTTCTGTACCGAACCGAGCCGAAGAACCTAGGATTTTTTTGGTTCTGTTTCGGATAACCGAAGAATTCCCAGGAACCAACAACCCTATATGTGGCACCTTTTTTCTACATTTTTCATCTCTCTAGAAAAAATGAGGAAGAAATTCTCTTCGATATTTTAGAGATTTGACAGGGTGTAATTGAGTGTATTGACATGAGTTCGAATACGAGAGTTCTAATTTTATTTCGAATCCTGGACTGTGAGTTCGGCCAGACGAAATCACTTTTAGTAATTAGATTTTTTGCAAAAGATTTTTCGAATTTCCATTTCTCTTTTCCCAACTTACAAGGGAACATTCCGAACTGTGACCAAAAATTTTCAAATAAAAATTATACCATCGTGTAGAGCATGGTCGAAAGCCAATTGTAGTATGTTTCTTTTTTGGCCCTGACCCCCATTTCGAAAAGTTATAAGGCTTCAAAGTTTCCGACTTTTGGAACGGTTGAGTCGCCCTCATAAAGAGAGATTTTTCTTTTATTAAGGAGAAAAATAAGACTCCCTTCCTCCTTTTTTCCTTTCCTTTTCTTTTCCAATATTAGTTAAAGAAAGAGAAAAAGAGGAGAGAAAAGAAAAGGAAAAGAGGCGTCTCTGCCTTGCAGCTAATGTCAATTAAAAAGGAAAGAGGAGGAGTCAGAGAAGCCTCTTTTCCTTTTCTTTTCTCTCCTCTTTTTCTCCTTCTTTAACCAACATAGGAAAAAAAGAGGAAAGGAAAAATTGAGAAAAGGAGTCTCATTTTTCCCTTTAGGAAAGAAATAATAAGAAAAGTGAGGGCGACTCAACCGTTCCAAAAGTCGGAAACTTTGAAGCCCGATAACTTTTCGAAATGGGGGTCAGGGCCAAAAAAGAAACCTACTACAATTGGCTTTCGACCATGCTCTACACGATGGTATAATTTTTATTTGAAAATTTTTGGTCACAGTTCGGAATGTTCCCTTGTTAACATAAAAAATATTTTTTTTTAATTTTTAAAACTTATATTTCAGGATATTGAACGCATTTACTTTTTTCATGGACAACATGAATTGGATTTAAATGATTTTAGTCATCTTTCTTTAAAGTATTTTCCCAATTTATAAAATTTCGTTTAATTTTATTTTTAGAGATCAACAAGCCTTAATAGGCTCTATACAGTTTTCAAGTTTCTTTACTGGAATTTTTGCAGATTCCCTCAGATTACAAAACGAACACATCGATTCTTTATTTTTATTAATTCGTCGTTCACATTCTTTACGCTCTCTTTACTTTAATCGCTGCACCCTTCCAATTAAAGATTTTTTGACTCAATTTTCTACTGCTCTTTCAACAAATATTAATTTGCCTTTGGAACGACTTCGATTGGTTGGAATTGTTTTGGAAGATAAAAAAGGTTTTCTTTTAATTAATTAGTAAATTCTAAATTTTTGGATTTCTCTGTCCGAATCGGTGTTTTTCTAAATAAATTTCCGTCTAAATTTTGTCGAGGATACTATATTTTATCCCTTTAATAGGATGCCAGTCGGCGTTGGCCTCACTTTTGGATAGATTTTCGAAAAAATTTATCTGAAAATTTTTGAAGAACCTAATAGTGTCTTTTGTTTACTTAAGATAAATAGAAATTCCGATGCTTTTCGATGTAGCTCTAATTATAATTGGAGATTGGCTTTTATTAAAATCATTTTTTACAGGCCTTACTCAATTGGGCACTCTACTTCCCCAACTTTCTTCTTTGCGTGCTTTATCTTTCGCTGAATGCCTTTTAAGTGAAAAATGTGCTTTAGCTCTTTTAAATGGATTACATCACGGAATTAGATTAGCAAATGATTCAGCAAAAGGTGAAGATGCTACAGTGACTGGAAATACTTTAATTAATTCTGATAATGGAAGATTTCAATTAGAGGCGTTAAATTTAAGTGGAAATCCTTTGGGAAGTGGAGTAGAACTTGCTGAACAATTGGCTAACTTTTTGGCTTTGAATACTGGAGCAATTCGCTTTTTGGATTTAAATGGAACGGGTAAAAAAAATTTTTTTGAATTATTTTTGGGAGTCTACAAAAAAATTTTTTATTTTTTCCTGCCCTGTTTCATTTTCTTTTGATAATTAAATTTTAAGCAATTCAATTGGATCGTCTCTGGGCTGCTCTCAAATTGGGCGGTCTTGGTCTAGAAGTTCTCCGTCTTGGTGGTTGTCACATTGCTCAAACTAAAAGAAGTGTTCGAAATAGTGGAAAAGATAGTGCTCAAATTGCTAATGAAAATTGCCCCGTCGTTTGAATAACCACCCCCGTCATTTGAATAACCACCCCCGTTATTGGAACAAGATTCCCTGGCATTTGAACAACTTCCACCGTCATTGGAACAACCTTCCTCTGTAGTTGGAACATTGTTATTTCTTAAAAACATTTTTAGGATTTTATACTATTGGCACTCTAGTGGCCCGCTCTCTAGTGGTAGCACTCTAGTGGCGGCACTCTAGTGACCCCAACCGGCGCGGGATTTTGCGGAATCCCGTCCCTCACTCCCGTACTCTTCGTTTTGCGGGATTTCGCGCGATTTCGAATTTTTCGAGATTTATCCCGCGGGATCCCGTCCCGCAAATATTTTAAAAAATCCCGCACGCGGGATCACGCAAACACGACGATCTCTAGTTCAGACTGGTGTGTCCCTTTTAAAATTCAAAGTGTCAAAATATCAAAGTGCAAAATTGTCGATGTGTCCATATCAAATTTTTTTAAAACAATCCATTTTCAGTTTGAGGGGTCCATTTCTTTTTTTGTGGGTGGAGGGTCTTTTTGAATTAAGTTTAATGTGTTTAGGATTAATTAATTTTAGTAGAAATGACAGAACAGGATAAAAAAATTTTGGAGCTTCAAGAGGAGTTAAGCAAAGTTAAAACGGAATCGAAGATGAAGGACGCGGTGTTAGAGTTGACAACTGCATTGCACACAGTGTTAGTGGGTGAGAAACGTGAACACTCACTTATATTGGCGCAAATTGCTCAATTTAAGCGCGAAATCGCTCGTGTGAGCTCTTTAATTATTTATAATTTTGAATTTTAATTTTAATCGTCATTTACCATAAAACATATCCATTTTTTAGAATAACTTCAGCCTTATTGAAGGTTACCTTGTTGATTGTGGTCGTGTCGACATTATGGTGGATTTCTACAAAAATTGTGACTTTTGGGATGAGGCTCTGCGCTTAGCTCGAACTAAAGCTACGGCAGAACAGTTACAAAAAATTGAGGTATCTTTTTAAAGTTGTTTTAAGCTAGTTAATTTATGACTTTATAAATTGCTCTCAAAAAACTTTAATTTACTAAAAAATAAGCATTTAATTTTTGTAATAAAACTTGTTTATTGATTATGAAAGATTATGTTATTTTGTTTCAGGATGATTACAAACAGTTTCCTTCTACTCAAACAACTTCTGGTGCAACTCAAAAGGGTCTTTCCACTAAAGCAACTTGTTCTAGTGCAGCGGCAAAGGAAGAGAATATTGGATACGAATTCCAACTTATTGAAGTTAGTTTTCTTAGGAATTTTGGTTTTAAACGGGGCAGTAAATTTTGATATTGTTTTAAATATTAAAAATTCGGCTAAACTACAGATTATGCGTCTGATTCCGATTTGGACAAATTGACCATTTCCCCACAAATTTGACCATTTCGAGCCCTATATCTCGGCTCATAGTTGAGTCCGCGGGCTAATTTTGGTGCCTTTTGACTCAGCTCGCCGAGCTCTTCCGAATGACTTATAAATCATCCAAATCGTGATCAGACCCATAAAGTGTAGTTAGACCAAAAATTGTATTGTTAGAGTCAGCATTCAGTTCTTTTTTTATTTCCACTAAAAGATTAACTGTCTCATTAATTTTTAAAAATTAAGGCGGTTAAGAAAATTCGTCCTTTATTTGATACGGCGTCTAGTACTAATTATAAGTTCGCTGAATACCATTGGGAGAAAATTGGAATTGCTCTTGGAAAGAATCCGGAAGATGTCAAAAAGCGCTGGAACGACTTACGCTCGGTATTTATTCAAGAACTCGCAGAGGTCAAGGGCACTGGAAAGGCTTCGGGTTGGGAATATTACCAAGCAATGGATTGGTTAATAGGTACTCTTTTGAACAAATTTCTGAAAAAATTTTTATCTTTTAGTAAAACTTAAATTTGTTTTATTTAATTTATGTATTTTCGGCGAACCTTTTTAAATATCCTTTAGTTTTTAATACAAAAATTTTAGTGTATTTGCGCAAAGGCACTGATGGGAACATGGAATAAGAAGAGGCCTAAATGGACAGTAATTTAAGAAGGAAGTAAATTGTTAATGTTTTCAAATTTTTTTTGGGTGGCCTCAAAAATTGTTATTTAAAAAAATTTTTGTTTAAATAAATATGTTGTTTGAAATCTTTTCTTTTAATCCGATTCAGAATCGTTGTTTATCTTTAAAAATTTTAGATTTTTCTGTGCAATTCCACCGTCTTGTTAAAACCAAAGAGGGGGAGGAGGGTGCAGCCTAGCAATGAGTGTGAGGGAAGGATTCTAAATTTGAAGAGGAAAAGTGGCTAAAGGTTAAAAAAGCAACAGAGGTTAAATAATCTATTTATTAAAAGTTTTTACATAAATTTATTTATTCAGACCGTTTGCCTGACCCGGTGCAAAAAATTTAGTAAATCAGGTTTTCTTTTTATCGATAAGTTTATTTTCCTTCCATTTACAGGCTTCATTAGACAGCAATGGTGCAATTACTTGATGGATTGAATATGTGTTTCTTTCCTACATTCAAACTTCAAAAAATTTTTTTGTCAGATTTTCCACCATAAAGTTTATATAAAATTCTCAATGCCTTCAGTCAAGAGTACTATTTCAGGAGTTCTTGACCAATACCTAGGAATACGGGATTCGATATTGTTGGAGTAATAATAAATTATAGCCTTTAACTAAGTTTAATCCTTTAGTGAGTTGATTTAATGACCAGGGATTATTTGGAGCAACCCGACCATATTTTTCTAAATTTTTATTTTAAATTGACTTCTTCCTTTCACCTCCCAAATTTGTTTTTTTGAGTCAATCATTGCCCTTTCCTCTTCTCCCTTTTTTACTTAAAGGCGCTTTTCTCTCTCTATGAATTTGCACCAACAAATCACTCACATTTTCTTTTCACACTTGTCCAAATTGGTCTGATTTTATTAGATTTAATAAATTTATATGTATTTTGTAAGTAATTTAATAGTTAAAATTTAAAAATTTTTAATGATTTTATTAGATTCAGAATGTTTTAAACAAGAAATCTACATTCCCCTACATATGGAAATTACACTTGGCTCAAATTTTTAAGAAACATTTATTGATGCTGTTTTTCTATTTTTTGGCCAATTTTGTCAACATGAGAATTTTCTACGTTCTTTTTTTAATTTTTTCAATTAAAAAATTTTTTTTCATTTTTATTAAAGAAGCAATTTCTTTTCAAATCAAGAGCGTCAACACAATTCTTACAATAACCACCAACAAATATTCAACGTTTCCTTTTGGGATAGTTTGAGGAGAAGAGTTATGTATTTAGGAATGCCTACAGAAAATGTCTTCAATTGTTCAATATTTGTGCATTCCTTATGGTTCTACTTTTGTTGGAAATGTATAAATTTATAATTATATTTTAAATTAAAAAAATTTCGGGGGAAATCGTATCAGTTAGAATCATTAGGGTCTTTGATTTTAAGATAACAGTCGACAATCCAAGCCGTGCCAAAAATTATATAATTATTTTTTAGCAAAATTCTTGGTCCTTAGTTTTGACCTAATATTTCCTAGGGGTTTTCATTCTTCGTCTTGAAGTGCCTTTTCTAGGCTTTTCGGTCTTTACTCCAATAATCCACCCATATCATTTTTCTCTGATTAAAATTTAATACCAAAACCGATCCTTAAAATCCAGAACTGAGACCAAGATTCTCAAATGCCTCACATTTTTGTTTACAAACCAAAGTAAATCTCTCAGAACGTCTCATATTATTTAATTTTAAGCATCGATTTAAATTGCCTATATCCGCCCCAAAATTGATTCATCAACCAAAAGATGCATTTAAATCTCCTCCATTGCGTGTTCAATCTGGACTTCCCTTTGCTTTCGGAACAGAGTTTGTTTTTTTCTTTAGAAGATTTTTATATTATTTTAGAGCTTTTTGGGGTTCGACTTCCAAATTTCCTCCTGTTTTATTAACCTTTTGGTGGGGGCGTTCTCTTTTCTATCTTGTCGTGTCAATCCAACCATTGAAAGGGAACTTTTGGCTAGTGTGAGGAATTTTGGGTGAAATAAATTGTTACTGTTTTCTAACTGCAGTCACAAACACAGCCTCCTTCAATAATTTCTTTACTCCTCCCTCTCAACCTCCAATCTTAATTTAAATTATTTTTTAAGGCTGGAAATCTGGAGCAGCCCTTAGTTTCTCTTTTAATGGCATCACCAATTGTACAACTTTTAAATTTAGAAAAATTTTCTTAATTCTTTAAATTTAAAAGGCTGTCTTTTTCGAAGAGGTGCAGTTTTGTTGGATGGATCAGAGGGTATTTTTAAATTTTTCTAATAAAATTTTTTGATAATTTTTTAAATAATTTTTTGAAAGTTTCTTAGTTTTCCCTGGGTTTGTCTAGTTTCACTATTATTATATTTAAATATTGGGGTTTGATTACTAAACTCTGCATTTGGTTCTTTTTTATTTCCACTAAAAGATTAATTTTGTCTTGTGAATCCTCTAATTAACTTTTAAAAATTAAGGCAGTTAAGAAAACTCGCCCTTTGTATGATACGGCGAGTCGTACTAATTATGAGTTTGATGAATATTGGAATAAAATTGGAAGCGATCTTGGAAAGAATCCGGAAGAAGTCAAAAAGCGCTGGAACGGCTTACGCTCGGTATATTTATTCGAGAACTCGCAAAGGTTAAGGGCACTGGAAAGGCTTAGGTACTTTTTTTAATAGGTACTTTTTTTGAATACATTTATGAAAAATTTTTTTTTTGGTAAATTTTTTTACTAAAATTCCTTTAAGTCCCTGATTAAAATTAAGAACAGGAATTTAGTGAGGTTCCTGAGATTAGAGGGGTTCCCAACATTGAAAAGGATGAATCCTTGCTGTGGAAAAAACTATAACCATGATTCTTTTTGATTTATTCGTTAAAACGGAACCAATAAAAAACTTCAATTAAAAAATCTCGACATTTGAATTAAAGATTTTTTTTTTCTTTCTTTCTTTTTTTTTTCTTTCTTTTTTTTTTTTTTTTTTTTTTTTTAATATTTATGCAGCAATCACAGGTACAAATAAAAGTACACTGACAGTGATTGTAAAAAAAAACAAAATATGTATAAGTTGTGAATACAATAAATTTAAGAAAAAATAAATAAAAAAAAATTAAGTATTGAATGTAAAAATGAATATTTTGTATATAAAAAAAATTTTTTTTTAAACACTAGGTACCAGACAGACTAAGTAAATCAATTCTTTTGGTATATTCCCTGAATTTTTTTAAATCTCTAATCTCAACAATTTCCCTAGGTAATTTGTTCCATAAGGAGACTATGCGAGCAAAGAAGTTATTTTTTGACTTGCTAGTGAATCTTTTATTTTGTAAAAGATGAATTCTTCTTTTGGCCCTTTTAGTTAGAGTAAAGTATTTTTCTTGTTCCAAATGTGTGAAATTATTAAGTATTTTATAAGTCATGCAAAGATCGGCAAGTACTCTTCTTTCCTCTAATTTTTTTAATTTACAAATTTGTAGTCTAATTTCATAAGGTTTATCAACTAATCCGCATTGTTTAAAGGCTTTTTTGGTAAAGATTTTTTGAATTTTTTCAAGCGAAATTAAGTGATCTTTTCTTAAGGGACTCCAAATTTCAGTCGCGTACTCTAAGAGAGGGCGCAAATATGTTTTAAATACAAAAACTAAATTATCAAGATCCTTGGATTTAAATATTCTAAATATTAGATACATCATTGAATAGGCTTGTTTTGTAATTTTAGTTATATGTGCAGAAAAGGATAGATCTGTGTCTATTAATATTCCAAGATCGCGAACACAATTCTCTTTCTTGATTGGTTGTCCATCTATAAAATATTGTTGCTTATCATTATTCTTACCTATGTATAGGCAGAGGAATTTATCTATAGAAATCTTTAATCCATTATTCTTAGCCCATTTTTCAATAATTAAAAGAGATTCTATAAGCTTATTTCTATTGTTATCATTGTTATGTTCTACATACAGTTTAATATCATCAGCATATATTTTAACATTAACACCCTTAGGCAGATGTTCAGGTAAATCGTTAATAAATATTACAAATAACAAAGGGCCAAGTACACTACCTTGAGGAACACCAGAATGAATGGGATATTCTTCAGAAAAGTCTTGCTCAATTCGGACTTTGAACTTTCTATTGTTCAAAAAATTAGTTAAAAATTTGAGTATTTTTCCATTAATTCCAATATATTTAACTTTTTGTATCAATAGTTCAATCGGGACAGTGTCAAAGGCTTTTTTAAAGTCAATATATACTATATCAACTTTATTGCCTCTATCTACGCAAGAATAAATTTGGTTTAACATGGTAAGGAGTTGCGTTACAGTTGAACGCTGTTTAAGGAAGCCAAATTGTTCAATACTGAAAAAGTTTTTGTTATTAAGAAACTCAATAAGTTTATTTGCTAGTAATCTTTCGAAAGTTCTACAGAGAGTGCATGTAAGTGCGATGGGTCTATAATTGTCAGTTATAGTTTTATCACCTTTCTTAAATATCGGAATAACTATAGAATGTTTCCAGATTTCAGGTATTTCACCTTCGTCAAGAATTAATCTAAATAATTCAGTTATGATATGAGATAGTGTGAAAGCACATTTTTTTAATAATATATAAGGGACGGAGTCTGGTGAGGTACAGTTTTTATTGGGGAGTTTCCTAAGAAGTTTGAAAATATCTAATATATTAAATTGAATATCTTCAATTTTATCATCAGATTTAGTAAAATGCGATCCTATAACTAGTTCTGAATTTTTCTTATTAAAGGCTTTCTGAAAGGTTATACCCATAGCATTACTTTTAGCTTTATCTGATAGACATATTTCTCCATTATTGTCGAAAAGTGTTGGTACTTGTATTACAGGCTTTAGTTTATTCTTAAAATACTTATAGACTGAGGATCTGCCTTTAGACACAATTTTCTTATCCTTGTCTGTGTAATAATCTCTAGTTATTTTTCTTAACTGTCTTGATATTATTTTATACTTAAGTTGGATTTCATTGTTATCCGGGTCCTTTTTTGATTCATTGAATAATTTAAGCTTGTTTCTTGATAAGTCAGTTATTATTTTTGGATAATTTTCTTTTATGATATTATTTAAAGGTTTTAAAGGCATTGCAGAATCGAAAAAGTATAGAATAGTATCAGTGAAAGCATTGTATTTAGAATTAACGGTAAAGTAAAAAGAGAGTTCATCTGTCCATTTGTAATTTGCATATTATATAATATAAAATCCAGAGCCCAATTAAATTTAAAAACTAATATCGGCCGGCCGAAGGCCGGCCGCTTCCCCGAAGCCTGACATTCTGGGGGCAACTTTTTACGGCGCATTCAGGAAAATTATAGCTGTGGCGCCACAACTTTTCCTTTGCGCCGAAACGACCCCACTAAAATTTTTATCTCGTGAACCGTAAGTCGGAGCAGAAAAAGTCTGCTGGGAGGCACGCGCGCCACGATTAGTAGATATGATTTAAAAAAAAAATTTCGAAATTCGGTGAAGTCTAAATACCGAAGTGCCTGTTCATTGGTTTTTATTTGGTCCGAAAACCAATTAATTGGTTTTTCGATTTTCTATATTTCGTGAACGGCTGGGCGGATTTGGATGGGACCTGGGGGATATTAGGTAAGTGGCTATGGGGAATTTTTTGGGATTGGCCATTTCGGCGCCGCACTTGAGTGCGGCGCCGAAATGGCCGATTCAAAAATTCAACGCGTTATAACGCGTTTTTGAGAAGTGGGGGGTCTTGGGGCCTGGGAGCGATGTTGGAGGGTTGGATGTTGGGAAGTTATAAATAAGCGGACACTAGCCCCCCAATCCGATAACCAACCCAATCCGATAATCCCACAAAAAGTTAAGGTCCCCCAAAAAATCCCGAATTTTTCCCAAAAGGGGTACCCCTTTGGTTCTGAGGGAGGGGACAAAATTTTCGAATTTTGACACAAAATTCGACTTATATGGTACTCTGACATGCGCTGAGTACGAATCCGGCGTCAGAAAAATTTTAAAAAATTTCTCCGGGACGATAGAGTCTCATAAAGTTTCACGACATTTTGCCACAACGCCTATAACTTTTTGAGACTCAAGTGGACCCCCAACATATTATACCTTTTTCTGACCGCCAGGGGACGCTCTTTCGATCTGGCTATTGAAATCGAGTTTCAATTCACTTTACAAAAAGTCGACTTTTCGACTCTGACACTTTGGACCAAATGACCCCCAAAAGTTCACCCGAGACTCTAGTGTCCGCTTATTTATAACTTCCCAACATCCAACCCTCCAACATCGCTCCCAGGCCCCAAGACCCCCCACTTCTCAAAAACGCGTTATAACGCGTTGAATTTTTGAATCGGCCATTTCGGCGCCGCACTCAAGTGCGGCGCCGAAATGGCCAATCCCAAAAAATTCCCCATAGCCACTTACCTAATATCCCCCAGGTCCCATCCAAATCCGCCCAGCCGTTCACGAAATATAGAAAATCGAAAAACCAATTAATTGGTTTTCGGACCAAATAAAAACCAATGAACAGGCACTTCGGTATTTAGACTTCACCGAATTTCGAAATTTTTTTTTTAAATCATATCTACTAATCGTGGCGCGCGTGCCTCCCAGCAGACTTTTTCTGCTCCGACTTACGGTTCACGAGATAAAAATTTTAGTGGGGTCGTTTCGGCGCAAAGGAAAAGTTGTGGCGCCACAGCTATAATTTTCCTGAATGCGCCGTAAAAAGTTGCCCCCAGAATGTCAGGCTTCGGGGAAGCGGCCGGCCTTCGGCCGGCCGATATTAGTTTTTAAATTTAATTGGGCTCTGGATTTTATATTATATAATATGCAAATTACAAATGGACAGATGAACTCTCTTTTTACTTTACCGTTAATTCTAAATACAATGCTTTCACTGATACTATTCTATACTTTTTCGATTCTGCAATGCCTTTAAAACCTTTAAATAATATCATAAAAGAAAATTATCCAAAAATAATAACTGACTTATCAAGAAACAAGCTTAAATTATTCAATGAATCAAAAAAGGACCCGGATAACAATGAAATCCAACTTAAGTATAAAATAATATCAAGACAGTTAAGAAAAATAACTAGAGATTATTACACAGACAAGGATAAGAAAATTGTGTCTAAAGGCAGATCCTCAGTCTATAAGTATTTTAAGAATAAACTAAAGCCTGTAATACAAGTACCAACACTTTTCGACAATAATGGAGAAATATGTCTATCAGATAAAGCTAAAAGTAATGCTATGGGTATAACCTTTCAGAAAGCCTTTAATAAGAAAAATTCAGAACTAGTTATAGGATCGCATTTTACTAAATCTGATGATAAAATTGAAGATATTCAATTTAATATATTAGATATTTTCAAACTTCTTAGGAAACTCCCCAATAAAAACTGTACCTCACCAGACTCCGTCCCTTATATATTATTAAAAAAATGTGCTTTCACACTATCTCATATCATAACTGAATTATTTAGATTAATTCTTGACGAAGGTGAAATACCTGAAATCTGGAAACATTCTATAGTTATTCCGATATTTAAGAAAGGTGATAAAACTATAACTGACAATTATAGACCCATCGCACTTACATGCACTCTCTGTAGAACTTTCGAAAGATTACTAGCAAATAAACTTATTGAGTTTCTTAATAACAAAAACTTTTTCAGTATTGAACAATTTGGCTTCCTTAAACAGCGTTCAACTGTAACGCAACTCCTTACCATGTTAAACCAAATTTATTCTTGCGTAGATAGAGGCAATAAAGTTGATATAGTATATATTGACTTTAAAAAAGCCTTTGACACTGTCCCGATTGAACTATTGATACAAAAAGTTAAATATATTGGAATTAATGGAAAAATACTCAAATTTTTAACTAATTTTTTGAACAATAGAAAGTTCAAAGTCCGAATTGAGCAAGACTTTTCTGAAGAATATCCCATTCATTCTGGTGTTCCTCAAGGTAGTGTACTTGGCCCTTTGTTATTTGTAATATTTATTAACGATTTACCTGAACATCTGCCTAAGGGTGTTAATGTTAAAATATATGCTGATGATATTAAACTGTATGTAGAACATAACAATGATAACAATAGAAATAAGCTTATAGAATCTCTTTTAATTATTGAAAAATGGGCTAAGAATAATGGATTAAAGATTTCTATAGATAAATTCCTCTGCCTATACATAGGTAAGAATAATGATAAGCAACAATATTTTATAGATGGACAACCAATCAAGAAAGAGAATTGTGTTCGCGATCTTGGAATTTAAAAACGTCTCCAACAATTATAGTTAAAATTCTAGAAGAAACCAACAAATTTTTAGAATATTTCTTTAATTGTTTAAATATTTTTGTTGTTGATTCTTCTTCTAATATATTTAACTCTAATTCATTTGGAGGTATATTTAATGATTTAAATATGTCTACAAGAAGTTCATTTGGAATTGTTTTTGACTTCTTTTGTTTATTTAAATTCATTTGTAAAATTTTCTAAAAAATATTAAAAATCACCTTAGAAAAGAAAAAAGTTTATTTTATTTTCACGCACTAATTAAAACTTTTAGGGAGTTAAAAGGGGAGAGGTGTATGAAAGTAATTAATGGGGGTTATGGTAATTAAATTAGGTATTCTGAAACTGCCTTTTATAGTAAAATCTTTAATTCAAATGTCGAGATTTTTTAATTGAAGTTTTTTATTGGTTCCGTTTTAACGAATAAATCAAAAAGAATCATGGTTATAGTTTTTTCCACAGCAAGGATTCATCCTTTTCAATGTTGGGAACCCCTCTAATCTCAGGAACCTCACTAAATTCCTGTTCTTAATTTTAATCAGGGACTTAAAGGAATTTTAGTAAAAAAATTTACCAAAAAAAAAATTTTTCATAAATGTATTCAAAAAAAGTACCTATTAAAAAAAGTACCTAAGCCTTTCCAGTGCCCTTAACCTTTGCGAGTTCTCGAATAAATATACCGAGCGTAAGCCGTTCCAGCGCTTTTTGACTTCTTCCGGATTCTTTCCAAGATCGCTTCCAATTTTATTCCAATATTCATCAAACTCATAATTAGTACGACTCGCCGTATCATACAAAGGGCGAGTTTTCTTAACTGCCTTAATTTTTAAAAGTTAATTAGAGGATTCACAAGACAAAATTAATCTTTTAGTGGAAATAAAAAAGAACCAAATGCAGAGTTTAGTAATCAAACCCCAATATTTAAATATAATAATAGTGAAACTAGACAAACCCAGGGAAAACTAAGAAACTTTCAAAAAATTATTTAAAAAATTATCAAAAAATTTTATTAGAAAAATTTAAAAATACCCTCTGATCCATCCAACAAAACTGCACCTCTTCGAAAAAGACAGCCTTTTAAATTTAAAGAATTAAGAAAATTTTTCTAAATTTAAAAGTTGTACAATTGGTGATGCCATTAAAAGAGAAACTAAGGGCTGCTCCAGATTTCCAGCCTTAAAAAATAATTTAAATTAAGATTGGAGGTTGAGAGGGAGGAGTAAAGAAATTATTGAAGGAGGCTGTGTTTGTGACTGCAGTTAGCGACCTAAAATTACAAAGTCGTTTGAAAGTTCGTCTAGTATTGACTCAACTCAAATTTCACATGATCAAATTATTTGTATTTCAAAGTGTGTGGTTGAATTTTTGAAGCCTACTATCGAACAAATTGTTCGATCAATTATCCAAGAAATTATTCCAAATTTTAATAATACCACAACAACTACAAACAACAGCCAACCTTGGGGATCACACCCCTTTTCTAACAATAATTTCGAACCTCCACTACAACATTTTATTGATATTTCAAATTACAACACTTCACACCAAGAAACCATAATTAATAAATCAAAAACTGCAGTGGTTGAAAAATTTCCAGAATCTGATGGAGACAACAATCTTTTACGTGAAATTGTGAATGATTGTGGTCTGGGAGAGGAATTGGATGAGAAGGAAATTCATCGACATGCTGGTAAACGTGAGGCAAATGTTTTAAAACCAAAAATTTATAAAATTCATTTTAAATCCTCACAATCACGTGAAATTTTTAAAAACATTTCGTAAAGTTGTTAAATCCAATCCTCAAAAATATCCCCAACAATCATTTTGTCGTAGAAAGGAATCTCGTCGTTTAAAAGGAATCTCTCTTGATATTAAAATGGCGCACCCACCCCCGCGCGTTTTTCTGTTGGCTAAAATAACATCATATCTGTTATTGATGGATAATTCTGTTTCAATATTTTTAGTCGCGCTAATCCAGGTCTCATTTATAAAAATTATTTTAGGAGAGGTTTTTTCAACAAGGAAACTTAGATCTGAGATTTTATTCACAATAGATCTAGCATTTAAAAAAATACAGGGAATATTATTTAAAGTCAAATTAGGTTTATGAGTCGAGTTAGGTTTGTGATTGCTTAATTTTACCTATGCCTGTCTTGTACGAAGTGGTCTTGGATTGGACAATTCCATAATTTTTAAATCAACGACAATAAATTTATATAAATTAAGGTTTTTATTTAACTCATAGGCTTGTTTTCTTAGTGAGTATAATAATTTGAGCTCAGGAGGAGACATATCTCTACGACAAAATGATTGTTGGGGATATTTTTGAGGATTGGATTTAACAACTTTACGAAATGTTTTTAAAAATTTCACGTGATTGTGAGGATTTAAAATGAATTTTATAAATTTTTGGTTTTAAAACATTTGCCTCACGTTTACCAGCATGTCGATGAATTTCCTTCTCATCCAATTCCTCTCCCAGACCACAATCATTCACAATTTCACGTAAAAGATTGTTGTCTCCATCAGATTCTGGAAATTTTTCAACCACTGCAGTTTTTGATTTATTAATTATGGTTTCTTGGTGTGAAGTGTTGTAATTTGAAATATCAATAAAATGTTGTAGTGGAGGTTCGAAATTATTGTTAGAAAAGGGGTGTGATCCCCAAGGTTGGCTGTTGTTTGTAGTTGTTGTGGTATTATTAAAATTTGGAATAATTTCTTGGATAATTGATCGAACAATTTGTTCGATAGTAGGCTTCAAAAATTCAACCACACACTTTGAAATACAAATAATTTGATCATGTGAAATTTGAGTTGAGTCAATACTAGACGAACTTTCAAACGACTTTGTAATTTTAGGTCGCTAACTGCAGTCACAAACACAGCCTCCTTCAATAATTTCTTTACTCCTCCCTCTCAACCTCCAATCTTAATTTAAATTATTTTTTAAGGCTGGAAATCTGGAGCAGCCCTTAGTTTCTCTTTTAATGGCATCACCAATTGTACAACTTTTAAATTTAGAAAAATTTTCTTAATTCTTTAAATTTAAAAGGCTGTCTTTTTCGAAGAGGTGCAGTTTTGTTGGATGGATCAGAGGGTATTTTTAAATTTTTCTAATAAAATTTTTTGATAATTTTTTAAATAATTTTTTGAAAGTTTCTTAGTTTTCCCTGGGTTTGTCTAGTTTCACTATTATTATATTTAAATATTGGGGTTTGATTACTAAACTCTGCATTTGGTTCTTTTTTATTTCCACTAAAAGATTAATTTTGTCTTGTGAATCCTCTAATTAACTTTTAAAAATTAAGGCAGTTAAGAAAACTCGCCCTTTGTATGATACGGCGAGTCGTACTAATTATGAGTTTGATGAATATTGGAATAAAATTGGAAGCGATCTTGGAAAGAATCCGGAAGAAGTCAAAAAGCGCTGGAACGGCTTACGCTCGGTATATTTATTCGAGAACTCGCAAAGGTTAAGGGCACTGGAAAGGCTTAGGTACTTTTTTTAATAGGTACTTTTTTTGAATACATTTATGAAAAATTTTTTTTTTGGTAAATTTTTTTACTAAAATTCCTTTAAGTCCCTGATTAAAATTAAGAACAGGAATTTAGTGAGGTTCCTGAGATTAGAGGGGTTCCCAACATTGAAAAGGATGAATCCTTGCTGTGGAAAAAACTATAACCATGATTCTTTTTGATTTATTCGTTAAAACGGAACCAATAAAAAACTTCAATTAAAAAATCTCGACATTTGAATTAAAGATTTTACTATAAAAGGCAGTTTCAGAATACCTAATTTAATTACCATAACCCCCATTAATTACTTTCATACACCTCTCCCCTTTTAACTCCCTAAAAGTTTTAATTAGTGCGTGAAAATAAAATAAACTTTTTTCTTTTCTAAGGTGATTTTTAATATTTTTTAGAAAATTTTACAAATGAATTTAAATAAACAAAAGAAGTCAAAAACAATTCCAAATGAACTTCTTGTAGACATATTTAAATCATTAAATATACCTCCAAATGAATTAGAGTTAAATATATTAGAAGAAGAATCAACAACAAAAATATTTAAACAATTAAAGAAATATTCTAAAAATTTGTTGGTTTCTTCTAGAATTTTAACTATAATTGTTGGAGACGTTTTTAAAAAAAGGAAGGTGAGGAGTAAATTAATTTTTTGTAATTAAATAATGATATGCTAACTCGCGGAACAGACAAATTGCGGAACGACAAGTCGAGAAACAGACAAGTCACGGAATTAAATATTCTTTATTTTGGTAATTCCGTGAATTGTCTGTTCCTCGACTTGTCTGTTTTGCGATTTGGAATTCCTCGAGTTAGCCCCCACCCAATTAAAAAACTAATTTTCTCAACATTTTTTGCAGATTGCAGCTATTTTAATTTCGACTTTAGAAAAGAAGAAAAATATTTTTATTCGAGAACAATTAAACGATCTGACAGAAAGAATAGCTCAATTAGAAGAATTAACTGAAGAAAATGCTAATCAAATAGGAGGATTTCATGACATTGAAGCAAATTTAGATGAATTAAGAATTGTAAAAAAGAAAATTTCAAAAGTCAAATATTTGTTGTTAGCTATTTTTATTGTTTGTTTATTTCTCCTTTGTTTATTTGTTTGGATATTGTAGGAAATTAAGTGTTATAAATATGTAAAATATTTTACTTGAAAATAGTTACAATTAGACCTCAAGATATCGGCAAAATTAGAAGATACTTCTCGATTTTAATATGTTTTTACAAGTTGGTTGACCACGAGGTTCGGTTGGTTGGTTGGCCACGGTATCATCCCCTTCTAACAAACGAGATACCTGTGGTAACGGTGGGACTTCGGCATGAAATTTTTTAGACAGTTAGCCCTTCTTTTATTGTGAAATTTTCACCATTTCCGCAGAATTTTCTCTTTCTTTATTTAATTTTAAATTAACAGCTGTCTAAAAAATTTCATGCCGAAGTCCCACCGTTACCACAGGTATCTCGTTTGTTAGAAGGGGATGATACCGTGGCCAACCAACCAACCGAACCTCGTGGTCAACCAACTTGTAAAAACATATTAAAATCGAGAAGTATCTTCTAATTTTGCCGATATCTTGAGGTCTAATTGTAACTATTTTCAAGTAAAATATTTTACATATTTATAACACTTAATTTCCTACAATATCCAAACAAATAAACAAAGGAGAAATAAACAAACAATAAAAATAGCTAACAACAAATATTTGACTTTTGAAATTTTCTTTTTTACAATTCTTAATTCATCTAAATTTGCTTCAATGTCATGAAATCCTCCTATTTGATTAGCATTTTCTTCAGTTAATTCTTCTAATTGAGCTATTCTTTCTGTCAGATCGTTTAATTGTTCTCGAATAAAAATATTTTTCTTCTTTTCTAAAGTCGAAATTAAAATAGCTGCAATCTGCAAAAAATGTTGAGAAAATTAGTTTTTTAATTGGGTGGGGGCTAACTCGAGGAATTCCAAATCGCAAAACAGACAAGTCGAGGAACAGACAATTCACGGAATTACCAAAATAAGGAATATTTAATTCCGTGACTTGTCTGTTCCTCGACTTGTCGTACCGCAACTTGTCCGTTCCGTGAGTTAGCCCGACACGGTTTAATTCTAAAAAATTAATTTCCTCACCTTCCTTTTTTTAAAAACGTCTCCAACAATTATAGTTAAAATTCTAGAAGAAACCAACAAATTTTTAGAATATTTCTTTAATTGTTTAAATATTTTTGTTGTTGATTCTTCTTCTAATATATTTAACTCTAATTCATTTGGAGGTATATTTAATGATTTAAATATGTCTACAAGAAGTTCATTTGGAATTGTTTTTGACTTCTTTTGTTTATTTAAATTCATTTGTAAAATTTTCTAAAAAATATTAAAAATCACCTTAGAAAAGAAAAAAGTTTATTTTATTTTCACGCACTAATTAAAACTTTTAGGGAGTTAAAAGGGGAGAGGTGTATGAAAGTAATTAATGGGGGTTATGGTAATTAAATTAGGTATTCTGAAACTGCCTTTTATAGTAAAATCTTTAATTCAAATGTCGAGATTTTTTAATTGAAGTTTTTTATTGGTTCCGTTTTAACGAATAAATCAAAAAGAATCATGGTTATAGTTTTTTCCACAGCAAGGATTCATCCTTTTCAATGTTGGGAACCCCTCTAATCTCAGGAACCTCACTAAATTCCTGTTCTTAATTTTAATCAGGGACTTAAAGGAATTTTAGTAAAAAAATTTACCAAAAAAAAAATTTTTCATAAATGTATTCAAAAAAAGTACCTATTAAAAAAAGTACCTAAGCCTTTCCAGTGCCCTTAACCTTTGCGAGTTCTCGAATAAATATACCGAGCGTAAGCCGTTCCAGCGCTTTTTGACTTCTTCCGGATTCTTTCCAAGATCGCTTCCAATTTTATTCCAATATTCATCAAACTCATAATTAGTACGACTCGCCGTATCATACAAAGGGCGAGTTTTCTTAACTGCCTTAATTTTTAAAAGTTAATTAGAGGATTCACAAGACAAAATTAATCTTTTAGTGGAAATAAAAAAGAACCAAATGCAGAGTTTAGTAATCAAACCCCAATATTTAAATATAATAATAGTGAAACTAGACAAACCCAGGGAAAACTAAGAAACTTTCAAAAAATTATTTAAAAAATTATCAAAAAATTTTATTAGAAAAATTTAAAAATACCCTCTGATCCATCCAACAAAACTGCACCTCTTCGAAAAAGACAGCCTTTTAAATTTAAAGAATTAAGAAAATTTTTCTAAATTTAAAAGTTGTACAATTGGTGATGCCATTAAAAGAGAAACTAAGGGCTGCTCCAGATTTCCAGCCTTAAAAAATAATTTAAATTAAGATTGGAGGTTGAGAGGGAGGAGTAAAGAAATTATTGATTTTGGGATAGACTTGGGATTAATATTCGTGAAAAATAAATATTTAAAAATCAACACGAAAATATAATTAAATAACACGCTCAAAGGGGCTAACAAACAGAAAATGGGTAAAAGTTAAGTTTATGTGACACCTTTTTCTTATCTTTTCATTTCCCTAGAAAAAAAATGAGAAAAAGTCGTGCCCCCTCAAAAGGTAGAATTTTAATTTTCAATTTCTGAATTAAATTCGACCTGACGAATTCAGGTCGGGATTCGAAATAAAAAATAAAATTTGAATCAGCACACTTAATTACCAAAAAAAATCTTAAAAATATCGGAAAGACTTCAATCTCATTTTTCTAGTGAAATGAAAAAATGAGAAACAATATGTACATAAACTTAACTTTTACCGAAAAATTATTAACTTACTACTCCCGCTGATTTTCTTTAAAGAAAAAGTTTTGATTACTCACAAGGGATGAGCCACCAAAAAGGTATTTCTGATTCGATTCGAACTTTTAACTTTAATGTCGGATACCTAAAAGGGACTTTGTAAAAGCACGGCGGGAATCGCACATTTAGGGATTCTTTAAAATACCAAAAATGTTTACTTCAAAACCCCATTTTCTTCCTTATTTTCAATTTTAATTTTCACAGATAGCAGCAATTTTAATTTTGACAATAGAAAACAAAAGTAAATTTCTTCAAGAACGTCTTAATGATTTAACAACAAGAACAGATCAATTCCAAATAGCAACAAATCAAAGAATAAATGAAATGGAGAGGGAAAGTAATGTAAGGCTTGGGGAACTTGAAATAGGCCTTAATAATTTAATAAGAAGAACAGATGACCTGGAAAATGAAGTAAAAAATTTAGCTTGTAAAGGAAAAAAAATTTATTATTTAATTGTTTTTATGTGTTGCTTTTTTGTTTGTTTTTATATTTATTGTAAAGTGTATTATAATATATAAATTATGAATAAATTGGGTGAATAAATTTTGTTTGCTATTTCCACATAGAATTTTTAAAAAAAATTTAAGAATGCAAAAACAGGCAAAATAAAGTGTTGGATAATTTTTTCTTAAAAATATTTTTTGAATAAATTAAATAATCGAAAATATGTTTATCATTTAATTTTACGATTAAAAGTTAAGAGAAATTCTGTTTATTTACATAAGAATAATATTAGTTAGTTTGGTGTTTTTAACACCAACACAATTGTTGGTGCTTAAATAAAGAATTAAAAATTGAAATTAAATAATTTTAAATTTTGAAATATTTAAAAAATTGTGTTTTTGATAATTATAAATAAATTAGAATTTTATTATAAAATCTCTGTCAGATTTGAAAGCTCGGTAATGAAATTTATTAAGGTAGTTAGGTATGTAATATTGATGTAGATAATTATTTTATCGTCTCGCTTACTTATAATCCTACAAGTGATGTCACGGGTTATCCAAAACCCGATCAGAAGAAAATTTTTAAAACCCGTACCGACTTTTTTCTCAATCCGTGACATCCCTGAATACTATATACATATTAATTTTTAAAAATATTAAACAAAAATTACTGTTTTTACTAATACATATTATAACTTAAAAACCAAAAATATAAGCAAAAAATTTAAAATAAAAATATCACGAATCCAACACATAAATATAAATATAAATTTTTATTAGTTATTCTTAGTGAGAACACAAATTTAAATAACAACACAGATATAAACTTTTAAATATTTTAAAAAATTAAAATATGTATACATTTATGTATTTTTATTTAATTAATTTATTTATTTTAATTAAATTAATTAATTCCCAAGACTTATTTACATCTTCTGCAGAATTACAACAATTAGTACATGTAGAAAAAGAAATTCCAAAAATTATAGAAAATTATATTTTATTGGAAAATAAACGTTTAGAAAATTTAAAAAGGTAGTTTTTAGAATAAGTAGAGTTGTTGATACATTTAATTAAAATAAAAAAATGAAGTAATCATGGTTAGTAAATGGGAATGCTAAAATTAATTAAAGGAGTTAATTTGTATTAAAGTTGAATGGGATCGGGCGGGATTATCCCGGTTTTTTGAATCGCAATCCCGATTTTGCTGATCCTAGAACCAAAATACAAATCCTAATCCCAAGTCGGGACCGTGATCGGAATTGGATCAGCTCCTGGTGCAAATCAAAGGGAATGGTGGTTGAATGATTAGGGGTTGCTAGCAGAGCTTGCGCAAATGCGGAACGCGTATTGCGTGAATTATGCGGGTTTTTGACTTGCGGACCAGGGATCAACTCTAATCTGTATGTAGAGAATGTTTGGTAAAATTCCTCAATAATGAAGGTGTTAAAAGATACCAATATAATAATTATTTTATAAAAATTATTCCAAATAATTAATTTATCCAAATAATTTTCTAGTATAGGAAATAAATATTTAGAAGAAGAAAGTGAATTATTTGAATTGGAACCAAAAAGTGTTTTAAATCCTTTAAATGCTCTTAGAGTAATTAAAAAATTGGCAAAAACCTGGGAGGAAATTTCAAAAGAAATTCAATCAGATTTGGCTGAAAATTATTTAAAAAATATTTCAAATCAAAGAGAAACTCGTTTTCCTAATGAGGTGGGGATTTCTTATTTTTAAATTGAAGGAGAAGACTGACATGGAACCATCGTTTACTGTGACTGCGAATTTGATAGATTTTTTGGTACCATTCGATAGAGGACCCTCGACTTAGTATCGTGGCGCTAACCGTTTTCTTGCAAAATTAGTTTGGGCCGAGTTATGGCCGTTCAAAGTTGAACGCTAGAGTCTGAAGTTATAGGGTAAATAAACAATTTCTCTCTTATTTTTCATCCTCAAAGAACCAAGCCACGCCTCTTCTCTTTGTTTATTGTGTCTGACATTTTTCTCCCTTCTTATTTGCCTCACGCCTCTTGCATTCTTTTTTCCTCTTTGTAAGATAAAGAGAAGAAAGCAGAGAGAGTGAAACAAAGTTATAGCTCGTTTCTTTTCCTTATTTACCTTATACTCAACTACACCCAAGGACTGAAACTTTGAACGGCCATAACTTGGCCTAAACTAATTTTGCAAGAAAACGGATAACGCCACAATACTAAGTCGAGGATCCTCTATCGAATGATACCAAAAAATATATCAAATTCGCAGTCACAGTAAACGATGGTTCCTTGTGAGGGGAGAGATTTTAATTTTGAAATTAGAGACAACCCAAAATTTGGGGAGAAAGGAAGAATCGGAGCTTAAAATGAGAGCTTCCAATCATCCATTTATATTCTAATAAAACTTGATACATATTTATAAAAATAGGATGATTTAAATGGAGCAATTCAAGGATTATTACGTTTACAAGATACTTACAAATTAAAAACTAAAGATTTGGCTAATGGAATTGTTGAGAATATTGATATAAATAAACAAATGGATGGTAGATATTGTTTGGTTATTAAATTATATAAAATATTTAATTTAGCTGAAGATTGTTATGAAATAGGACTAGCTGCATATAATGAAGAGGTTAGATTTTCTTGGCCTTGGAAAGCCTAAAAATATTACTGCAAAGCAGACAAAGGAAAAATTTATGAGTTCGGAATTCCTCCTAAGTACTAGATCCGGAGACGAACCTAAGATTTTGAATCCTAGCCGAAGCCTAAGTCACAAGTCGTCAATTTTTTAAAATTTCTTTTCTATCCTACTGATACCGACAATACTACTCTTCCACTCCTGCAAGAGCCACGTCCCTAAAGCTCAACTCGGGTTGCGAAGGAAATTCAGATAAAACGCGATCCCCACTTTTAATTTTGCCTGGAAAGAAATGAAGCTATTAATTTGTATATTTAATTTTAATTAAAATAAAAGGATTATTATCACTCAATATTATGGATGGAAGAAGCAAATGAACGTTATTCTTTACAAAAAGAATCAACAAAATTTAACAAATCAGATATTTTAAATATTTTGTCAATTTCTTTATATAAACAAGGAAATTTAAAGAGAGCTTTAATTATTAATGATAAATTAATTGAATTAGGTAATTACTGAAAATTAAATTTAAAAAAAATATTTAAAAAAAAAGATCCTTTATATCCAAATGCAACAAATAATTCAAAATTATATGAACAAGAATTATTAGCTAATGGAGTTAATGAAGAAGATTTTCGTTTAAATATACCTCCATTAAATAATTATAGATCATTAAATGATTCTTACATAGATTCTGTTGATTATCAAGTTTTTGAAGAACTTTGTCGTGGCGAGAAGGAAATTGTTTGTTAATTGAAATTATTTTTAAGATACCTTTCATTTGATTTTTAGTACTACTTTCATCCCCCATAAGCCCCGCCCCCTTTTTTTATCGCTTCCTTTTCTTATAAGGTGATTTTTGGGTTAAAATTCCTCAACTTTTTATCTTCTTTACTCCATAGGGCAAGGAAGGGAGAAGAAAAGGGGCGGGGTTTATGGGGGGGGGAATGAAAGTAGTGCCTTAATTTTTAGAATATAACACAAATATCTCAACTTTATTGTTATTACAAAATGGACCGCCCATTCCTTCGTTTAGCCCCAATTAAAGTCGAAATTATTCGATTCGAGCCTTTGGCTGTTATATTTCGCAATATTATTGCTGATGAGGAAATTGAAATTCTAAAACGTTTATCAATGCCAAGAATGACTAGATCAAAAGTTCAACACCTCAAAACTGGGGAACCTATTATTGCTCCCTACAGAATAAGTAAAATGTAAAAAAATGATTCGAATATACTAAATATTTAATTATATTTACTATTAAGTGCTTGGCTTTATCCTAGTGAAAATAAAGTTGTTTTACAATTATTTAAGCGTATGGTGTTTATGACGAACTTGAATATGTTATCGGCTGAGCATTTTCAGGTTTTTAAGATGATCAAATAGTTTCAAGACTACTTTAACGCAATTCATTTGTGGATATCCATAAATTCAAAAAATTAACACTAGGATATGAATATTATTAGAGTATAAAGATATTGGTTTTCTTAAGAATATTCTTGGGGATGAAATAATATAAATCTCTTGTATCCCTTTTTTCAATGACTATGCTTAATTTAATATAAATTACCCACATATGTTGGGTCCCCAAAAGAGCGCAAAACCTCAATTTTAAATAAAAAATAATTTATCACTAGGTTGGAAATTATGGAATTGGTGGACATTTTAGACCTCATTTTGATTTTGCTAGGGTTCTAAATTTTATAAAATTAAATATTTTAAAAATATTTTAAAGGATAATTCAACAAATACAAAAGAATCACAAAAAGGATATCATTTTTTGAATTTAGGCACAAGAATTGCAACAGCTTTATTTTATTTAAGTACCCCAGAAAAGGGTGGATATACAGTTTTTAGTAATGTTAAAACATTTGTTAAACCAACTAAAAATGATGCTCTTTTTTGGTATAATTTGTGGAGAAATGGAAATGGGGATTTTAGAACACGGTTAAATAAGTTGTTAATTTAAAATTAATTTTTGAGTTTCTAGACATGCAGCTTGCCCTGTTTTGCTAGGCGATAAATGGGTTTCTAATTCATGGATACATGAAGGAGGACAAGAATTTTTTCGTCCTTGTGGTTTAGATCCGTCAATACAGGAACGTTATGTTGGTGATTTGGGAGGTCCAGAACCTAAAAAATATCCAAATATATTTCCATATTGTAAAAAAGGATTGTATTGTGAATGAAAATCTTTTTATATATACGTGATTTTCTTAAATATATTGTGATTTTCTTAAAAATATTTTTGTTGGACATTAAAAAATTATTTTGAGGAGGTTTTTAAATCAGGGATAGGTTCTTTACTTCTTTTGTGTTTTGCTTGGTGAAAAATGGGTTTCTTACTTATTTGGACTTAAGTACTTAAAAATAAACTAGTGACAAACTGTCTTTCGTACTTACAACATTAAAAATGTTTATTGCTTTTGGATATTCCCTCAAACTACCTTATATCCCAGATTATCCCTTATGTATATCTCGGATTGCGGATTGTGTAAAATTGAGTGTTTTTGATTTGCAGACTGCAGAGGATTTTAAAGTTAAAATTGCTGACTGTGGAAAATTGCGGCTCTCGGAACTGATTGAGTTCAAAAGTTCAACTGGGACGGGATCCCGTGAGATCGAGATGTGCCCGTGAGTTCCCATGAGTTTGAGATGTGAAGCCAAGTATGGACCCAAAAATACTTCCTTTCAGCGCTGCGGGCGAAAATTTTGAAAATTGTAAAGGCCAAGGAGCCTAAATTCCCTTCTATTTGCACGGCAAGCGAAAATTTATCAAATTTTTGAAGCACAAGAAGCCAGATTTCTCCCATTTTGCCCGAAATCTTGTAAATCAAATTTCAATTTTGTCACCGAATGTTTTCAATTGTTAATATTTTCGCATTAATGGCATTTTGTTATTTTATTCTTTCAGACATTTTGTACATAAAAAAATAATTTGAATATTTTTTTGTTTATTTTATTTTTAAAGATAAATTCAACATAAGAATAAATTGAATATTATATGTACATTGTGTAGTTACATATTAAAAATTAGTAAATTTTTATTTTCGGTAAATTGATATTTCTTAATACGGTCAGAACCTGTGCTTGGACGCTCGTACCAAAAATTTTACTCGTATTTGTATGAAGTACAAGCAACATTAAAATTTCGAATGCTGTTTAAAATCACTAATTTTTATTCTAATTTTTTTAACGTGATTTAAAATGTTCTGTTTTACTTTTAGGAAATTTTTTTAATTTTAAAAATGAATTTAAATAAACAAAAGAAGGGGAAAACAATTCCAAATGAACTTCTTGTAGACATATTTAAATCATTAAATATACCTCCAAATGAATTAGAGTTAAATATATTAGAAGAAGAATCAACAACAAAAATATTTAAACAATTAAAGAAATATTCTAAAAATTTGTTGGTTTCTTCTAGAATTTTGACTATAATTGTTGGAGATGTTTTTAAAAAGAGGAAGGTGAGGAATTTAATTTTTTCAGAATTAACAAACGAGTTTACTGGTCCCGAGAACAAAAATTAGTAAGCTTTTTCGAAATTTTTGAGAGTTACCAGTAGGTATTCAAGTGTGCTGAGTCCGAATCTGAGCTTAGAAACTTTTAATACTGGTAACTCTCAAAAATATCGAAAAGACTTCTTCCTAATTTTTTCTCATGACCAATAAGAGAGAGAGAAAAACATTAGGAAGTAGTTCAAGTAATAATTAAAAGAATTGAAAAATTAATTTTGAAAATAGAATGATAATAATACCTATGCTAAAGCCGAATGGGTATATGTAGTGAGTCTAAAATTTGGTCACCACGAAGTTCATTACCTTAAGTACTTTTCATTCGTTTGAATTTCTACACAAGAAAAATGTAAATTTCAAGCTGCTCTTGAGCGACAGTTTTACCGGTTAAAAATTAACAACAAAAATCCCAATTTCAAACCCCATTCTTAAAAATCGCCTCATTTCAAAATGGAAAAACACCGTTTTCATTTTTAGCCCTCTTTTAAATCTTTATTTTAACAGATAGCAGCCATTTTAGTTTTGACTATGGAAAACAAAAATAAATTTCTTCAAGAACGTGTTGATGATTTGACTGCAAGGGAAGCTGAATTTGGAATGGAAGTTATTCAAATTCGGACAGATTTCAACCGACTTCGGGCAGATTTTAATGAGTTAATTGAGGATGTTACTGAGGCGAAAAATAAAATTTACAAATGGAAGAAAATTTTGATTATTATTATGTTTATAAATTGTTTTATTATTTGTTTTTGGGTTTATCGTATGTTTTCGCATTAATGACATTTTATTTTTTAGACATTTTATAATTAAAAATTATTTTTTAATTTAAATATCTGAAATAATTTTTTTTTTCATTTTTAAAGAGAATCTTTAAGTTTATTTAGAGAATTTAAATGAATTTAAATAAACAAAATAAGAAGGGGAAAACAATTCCAAATGAACTTGTTGTAGACATATTTAAATCATTAAATATACCTCCAAATGAATTAGAGTTAAATATATTAGAAGAAGAATCAACAACAAAAATATTTAAACAATTAAAGAAATATTCTAAAAATTTGTTGGTTTCTTCTAGAATTTTAACTATAATTGTTGGAGAAGTTTTTAAAAAGAGGAAGGCGAGTAGAGAATTAACCAATCCTAATCAATCTTAATTTTGACAGATAGCAGCAATTTTAATTTTGACAATAGAAAACAAAAGTAAATTTCTTCAAGAACATATTAATGTTTTGACAGCAAGAGAAGCTGAATCTGTTCAAAGAATTAATGAAGTAGAGGCCACCTATGCTCAAAATATTCAAGATGTTCGGGTAGATTTGGAACGAGTTCGGACAGAATTACAATTGGAGATTAGGACAGCATTTTCTGATGTGAAAAATAAAATTTCCAGATGGAGAAAAACTTTAATTATAATTATGATTTTAAATTGTTCTATTTTAGGCTTTTATTTTTATCGTATAATGAATTATGACTTTTAGATATTAAAATATATATTGAAATAAAATTTCTAAAATCGTGCAGAAAATTTTTTTTGAGCGCATCACACGTATAAGATGAGAAAGTGGTATAATTGACTATTCAGACTCCAATCCAGACCCTCACATTTTTAATGGCTTTATGCATACTTTTTTAAAATACACAAAAGATTGGGAGATTAACTGAAAAATATTTTTGGTGAAAATATTAAAGGGTTGACAACACAAAATTGTATTGCAATAAACGACCACAAATGTTTTCGGTAAAGACTAAATTTAAAAAAAAAATATTGGAAACAAAAAAATGAGGCTTAAAAACAACAAATGACAATTAAAATAATATTTGTCTCGGATTTCCAAAATTATTTCATTTTAAAATTTTGAATTATTGAAAAGAAAATTTAAATTAAAATGGAGGATTCAAAATATTAAAATGAAATCAATTTCAGTCGAATCTCGATATAACGAAAGCTAAGGGACCGAAGAAAAAAATTCGTTATATAAAGGGATTCGTTAATTAAGGAGCCATTAAACGAGATAAGACCATATATCCATATTTTTCCGTCACCTTTAAAACAAAAATTTTAAATCCTCTCCCACCTTTATTTTCACTTCATTCATCGTCTACTACGTCTATCACAACTGTCTGAACGACGTCGACTGCTGCGTCTATAACTTCGACTTCGTGTACGATTCCTACGAGTTCGATCACGAGAAGTACTCCGACGTCGGTAACTGCGGGAAGAATAATCTCGCGATCGAGAACGATGTTGAGAGCGTGAACGGCGGCGCCTCCTGAATTTAAAAAATAACTTTGGAGCTATGTAAAAGAAAAGCCGATAAACAGATTTTGAGTGGTACTTAAAGATTCTCAGAAATAAGCTAACTCAAAAATATGCTTACTTTTTAAATAAATCGAAATTTAACTACCTATAAGAAGAACGAGAGCTTGAACGTCGTCGACGCGTTGCTGATTGACGGCGACGAGAAGACGATGAACGTCGACGACTGTGACGATCACGGCTTCGTTTTGAGCTTGCTGAAGAACTTGAGGAAGATGAAGAGCGAGAATTACTTGAAGAATGAGAATCGTCTTCGCTGCTTGAAGTTGTTGAATCAGCTAAAAAATATTGAAGATTTAACAGATAAACAATTAAAAATAACAAGAAGATTACCAGTTGAAGCAGATTTTGTTGAGGATTTTTTTGACTTTTTAGAAGATGCTACACTTTCTTCCGATTTGGCACGTTCATTCAATTCTTTTGACATTTCTTTTTCTGCACTTTTAATACTCTTCTTTTCAGTTAAATTTTCATCAGAATCATATTCATCCTCATCAATTTTAATTGAACGTTCTGGTTTAAACAAAGCAGAAGGAGGTGGTGAAGGATTTTGAGGAATTTGTTGACTTTCCTAGAATTATATAAAGAGATATTAAAAATAAAATTTAATTAAAACAGAACCTCTCTATTAAACATAAAATTGAGAATATATACCCACCTTATTGTTACGTTAGTAAATCAGAGATAGGGATCCAAAAGCGAATGAAGCCAAAACCTTAGCCCAAAATTAGATATACCTAGTCAGTTTAAGATAAATTTTTGGGACGGTTAACGACCTCATTATAAGATAGAATTACATATTTCAGCTCCAAGGGTAAACTAATAATGAGATTAACCTATTAAACGTACAATTTTTGCATGTCTCCATTTTGAAAAAATATAATAAAAAAATTTCTGCTGTACCTCATCGATGTCATTTTCCACTTTTGATACAAGTGCCGGAGAATTCTTTTTTGGAGTAGAAAGATTATTTGCAGGAGATTTATGTAATGATGTTGGCGTTGAGTATTCCTCCTCTTTAGTCTTCTTAGGCAAAATTAATTGTTTAAAGATAAATTCTTCTTCTTCAGGTTCAGCTTCTGCTTCCATAGGAATGTTTTCGTTGAGCAGATTTACACTTGAAACTTCATATTCGGTTTGTTTTTCCTTCTCTTTTTGTTTTGTTGGAGACTTTACAGGAGAAGTTATCTGTTCTATTTTCTCCTCTTTAATGGTTCCTTCCATTTTATCACCCTTATCTTCCGGTTCAACAATATTTTCATTCGTCACTTCATTTTCCTCAACGAAATGGCTTGATTTGATCACATCTTCATCAAAATGATCACGATTTTTATTAACATCTTTTGAAGACTCAACATGATCCTGACTAGTAAATTGAAGACCCTCCTGTGTTTCGACATTAGCAATGTTTGCTTCGATGTTTATGTCCACTTCATCACCACAATAATCTTCACGTTCATTTATTCTTAAAATAAAAAATAAACATATTTTACCAAAAATCATACTTTTCATCATCACCAAATTCATCTTCATCCCGTTCACGCCCATTATCATTTGTATGTTGACGATCAATATCTCTTTAAAAAATTGAAAGTTAAATAAAAACAATTTTTTATCAAACTTTGAATCCGAATCCTTTAGAGTTTCTTCATCTTTTTCCTTTGCTGGTGAAACATTCTTTGGAGGAAGTTCTTCAGTAGCTGGTGTTCCATTTTTAGATGCTTCATTCTTCCTTGGAGTTTTTGTTGGAGTTAATTGTTCATTCTTTACCTTCTTCAATAAAATAGGTCTCTCCGATGAAATAGATTTTTCTTCTTTAGATTCTTCTCGTTCGTTTGGAATTTTCTCCTCAAATGATTTTGATCCTTTTTCATGTTTTGTAGGTGTAGAACTTGTTTCTTTATCTCGTTTGTTATTATCTTTGTTCCCCCTTAAATGACTCAAAAACCCAGATAATGTAGAATTTGGTAATGGCACATCAGTTTCTTCATCATCTTCTTTTTCTTCACTTCGTTGTCTTCGAACTAAAATTTTCTTTTCTGGGCTAACTTCACCATCTTCGATAGAAACACCTTCATCTTCATATTGCTAAATTTAAATAGCGTTAAACTACAGACAAAATATTATATAAGGGAGAATATTAACTTAAATAAAACTTACAATCTCTCTTTCTTGTTTAGAAGATGATTTACTACTATTCACATGAAGTTCATTTCTGTATCCATCAAATTGATGACGCTTTTCTTCTTCTTCATATCGCCGATGCAAACGTCGTGCCAATTCACGTTCACGTTCAATTTCTGAATTTTTGTTATTTCTCTCTACACTGCGGCGACGCTCATTACGGCGACTATAGTCGCGTCTATTAAAACTAAAAATATTTGGATAATCTAAAATTGCAAACCTTTCTCTTTCTTGATGTCTTGATGGAGACAATCTCTTCTCTTCTTCAAACCGTCTTCTCGGCATCCCTTCATTTTCATCACGATTATCGGCCCAACGACCAAATACACGACTTTCATCAACTGCACGTTTTGAAGCATCATTATCGCGTTCTTGACTTCGTCGTCCAACTCCACGCCTTTCAGCTGGGCGTCCATCATCTCGTCTACGAACACGATCGTTTTCATTTCGGCGCCCAAACATACTTAAAAGTGAAAAAATAAAACTTTTAACCATCTTCATGAAATTACCGATCCTCTTCCGGCTTACGATTATGAGATATTGAACGATCCGGAGACTGAGGGTAACGTCCACCGACACCATTTCGCAATCCAAAACGTGGCGATCGACTTCTTGCTCTCCCGTTCTGCGTACCTTCATCCCGATAGCGCCGATCTCTACGAGTATTATCACGTTCTTGATCTCTGACACGAGCCATTCTGTCCCGATCTCGTTGATACATATCATTTGGCCAACGGCGATCACCACGTTCAACGTGTTCAGAACGAGAGGACTGAAAAAATATAAAATAAGGTCAACTTTATTAACATAAAGTAAATAACCTCAGTTTGAGAATGATTTCGTTCTCGAATTTCCTTAACTTGTTGAGGCGGGGGAAACACTGGAAGCCTATAACCAAAAGTTTCTGTTTCATTAGTGGCATTTTCTGCCTGTTTTTGTTGTTTTTCTTGTATTTCCTTTTCTTCCTGTTCTAATTTAATTTTTATACGATCTTGAAGTTCTTTCATTGAAATCAATCGACGCTCTTCACGTTTCCAGTGTGGAGGAGTAGCGCTACGCGAACGAGAATGAACAGGAACTCGGCTCTAAAATAATTTTCAAAATTTTATAACTAAATTGAGTATAATTTTAATCCCCAAAATTTACAAAAAATCTTAAATCAAATGCCTGTTGACGTGCTCTGGATTTATTGAAACTAAACAATTAGAAAAATTTTTTTAATAGACCTAAACAATTTTTATTTTAAAAATGTTTAAATAAAAAATATAATAAAATA